TAAATGGACTGTTCGTTTTTGAGCCGGTACGTGTCTACGTACGTAAGCAATTCAGCGCTTATAGGTCTCGTCAAACAATGTTCCCATTCAAGCGTCTTCGAAACATAGGTAGAGGCACGTAGCCTGCTCAGGCATAGTACTTACGGTACCTGCCGGTACGATATTTGTTTCTCTCAATGGTGACCCAGTCCCGTTTTTGCAGTAATGTACCTATAAAAGAGAACAGAAATGACACATGTTAAAAATAGTGACATTTCGTATTTTAAGCTTTAAAACAGAACATTGAAAGTTGAGATTGATTGCGAAAAAAAAGTCTCATTACGCGTTCAAGGACCTGTGTAAACCTTGAGTTCTTGACCTTTTCGACTAATTCGTTCGACGTCTTGCCGTGTCGTCTGCCACATCGCGTTAAAATTTTGCAGCCTCGCTCCTGTGAAATGTTGATAGGCTCCTTAGTGTACATATACGTGGTCTACAATAAAGAGTGAGGTTATTCACTAGCTACTCGTGATTCTGGTATCTGTACTAACTGACATAAACCTGAAAATCCGAAATATCCCCCCGCCAAATTTGGCACTGGTAGGCGTATCCCCCCTGCCTACCTCAAACTGCCGTATGCCAACTAATCATAGCTATTTATCGTCGRCACAACCTAACTCTTCAGGGGGCAATTCCAAGAAATGTCCCATGTGAACCTCTTCTGTCATCGGCGGTGGCTTGGTCCAAAGGAAGTCGGTAACCTACTGGGTAACCTACCGTTACCGGAGTGTTTCCCTGACGCACGGTAGAGTTATGAGACGGCAGCGAATCGCAATATAATACGCACGGCATCCTGATCCTGTGCATTCTCGCGGGAGAAAGCAAGCTGTTCACAGCAGCATTGCGCATAACATCGGTGTCGATTGACTTACAATCCAGTGCAAGTAGCAGCGCAGCGCAACACCAAATACCATGGACGTATTGATTCTAATCGGGATCGTGATCTTGGTGGCTGTCCTTTTCGTGGACTGCTTGGTCCGTCTCGCAATCGTATGGAACATGCGGAAACGGAGGCGTGCCRTAAAGCCACTAGGCGCAGGCGACGCACCAGAACGCGACGTCAACGCACGGCGTGGTGACGAGCATGGGCATGGGCATGGGCATGGGCATGGGCATGGGCATGGGCATGGGCATGGGCATGGGCATGGGCATGGGCATGGGCATGGGAATGGGAATGGGAATGAGCATGAGCATGAGCATGAGCATGAGCATGAGCATGAGCATGACAACGACCACGACGATAGCGCAGAGGAAAACGGAAGGGGAGTCCGGGACCAATACAACGAACGACACCGCCGAGGCGCTCTCGAGGTTTGATCGAACCAAACAACCCCGCTGTACTTCGACGATTCGATTTGTTGAYTTGATCGAGAAGTTTCTGTAGAGACAACCCGAAATCTAAGCAAGGGAGAGTATATCTCCACTCTTCCGTCCATCCAGCGAACCATCTATTCACGGTCGAATGTTGGCCGGGGGTGTTTCCGGAAGAATTCCGACTCGCTTTGCTTCCCTTGGGCGTGGTACGGTGCCCCACCAACACAKCCGCCAGAACCATACCAAACCGCTGTGCCTCGTTGCTCTGTGCTAGATGCCCCATCCWGTGACCGGGGATACAAACCGCATCTCGTAGTGTTTTGTTTCTCAGATAGCACGCGTGGTCGCGATCGGATTGGGTTGGACGGAATCGGTTTGCGATGTGATTTGATGCGATTTGATGCGATTCGATGCGATTCGGAGCAAATCATGGCTTGCCGTGCTCATTGGAGTATCTAATTTTCATAGCAACATCCTTTAATTCAAACAAGCAATTGTTGCCATTCTTGGGTGTGTCGTTAGTTTTCTATTGGTGTTTGTAGTCGTACGGGATCAGTAGAGTCGAAATACGTGATGCAGCGGTGGTCGTATTCGTTGTTGTTTTCGAATACCACGATGCTTCCTACTAGAATACAATACTGTAGTAACCTATAGTACGAGTTAAAAAGGATGATTTCTTTTTTCTTTGGCGCTATTTTCTGCCACGCATCTGCGCTTGGCTACGCTACGCGGCGCTGTGCTTTGCCCGGCCCTACCAAGACACGGCGCAAGCCCCGGACCCGAGGCCAACCCCTAGGTCGTCCGCCACTCGAGGGACCCGACAAAGAGCAGGGCCATGACGACCGCCAGGATCACCAGGGCAAGCTTGATGTCGGCCCKCTCCGATTCCTGGTGGCAGCACTTGAAGAATCCCCAGGCGGGGGGAAAGATCTTGGCGCTCATTTCCCCCACCATCCGGCGGTAGAGGTCGTCGGGRACCGTGATGACGTACTTGAGCTCGGGGAGCTCGGCGAGGCCGGGGCGTCCCTCCTCCAGGTCGTAGTCCAGGTACGTGTCGCAGCTGCTGCTTGCGTCCGAGTCGCTGGAGGACCAGGACGAGGACGACGAGGACGACGAATCCCCCGGATCGTGACCGCTGGCGTCACGGTCYTCCGTTGCCGATCCGTCCGTGTCGTTCTTTGCTGTTGCTGCCGCTGCTTTCTCCCGCAGCAGCTTCTTTTTCTGTTTCTTTTCCTTTCGTTTTTGCCTYCTGCGCAAGCGTCGTTCCCGTTCCTTTTCTCGCCGCAGGCGCCGCTTTTCGCGGTCTCGCCGCCRCCGCTCGGTTTGCGAGCCATGGTTGGGGCCGCCCTTCGTCCGGGGTGTTGCGGCGTCGGCCGAAACCGCCATTCGCTCGATGGTCCGGTCCGCCTCCTCCTTGCTCCTCCACTGCTCGACCGAGAGGATCCCCGGCTCGAGGTTGTAGTCCATCACCAGCCGGACCTGGTCCCGGGGGAGCCGCATGAGCATCCTCCCGTCCTGCTCGAAGAACATGCTGGACCGGACCTGGACCCGCTGGCCGGACCGGTTTGCCCGGAAGAGGGTCGGGTCCATGACGACGTTGTTGGTCGGGGAGGGAATGTGCTCCCGGTAGGAGGAGGWCGAGTCGGCGTTCCCCCCCACCTCGTCCTCGACCGTCTCCTCGTCGAGGAAGAGGTCGTGGTTGTGCCCCTGGGTGTTGTCGTTTCCGGTGTAGGGCTGGCCCCGCTCGTGGCGTGAGCCCCTGGCCCTCCGGTGCTTGTGGCGGGGCGAGTCGATCACCTGGTTGAGCCGTTCGTACTTGCTCATGAAGAGGGCCCCGTCGACGCTTCCGGACAGGCGGGCCCGGACCGACATGCGCCGCAGCAGGGAATTGGCGGCGGCGGCGGTCCGGCCGGATCCCCGGTGCGTCTTTGTCTTGTGGAAGGGAGCCGTGCGGTGTGGATCGGCGGGATGCGCTTGCGGCTGGTGCTCCTCCATTCCCCGGTAGAAATAGGAACARTCCTCCCGGACGCGGTCTTCCCGGGTGGCRGTGGAGGTGGCCGTGGAGGCCGAGGTCGAAGCCACCGTGGCGTCCGTGGGGGCCGGGAGCTGCGGCGGGGGATCGTACCGGGAGACCTCCTGMTCGATCCCGCTGTAGCGGGCCTTTCCGCTCCTCCTCTGCTTGCGGGCGTGGCTGCTTCCGTTGCTCCCCTCCGCGTCACCCTTGCTTCCGCCGCGGTCCTCCCGGCCGTTGGCCCCCCCGAACAGGCGGGTTCCCCACCACCCGTGCTCGGCCTGGCTCGCGGCCGGTTCCCCGGGAGACGCGATCGGCTGGTAGGGTCCGCTCCCGCCCGCCCGGGAAGACCTCCCTTGCTTCGAGGAACCACCCGCACCGCTGGGGATGCGCTCCGAGTCCCCGGCGTCTCTCCCGAGGACACTGGTGTGAACGGTTTCCCGCAGGGTCCGCGGGGGAGACGCCCCCGCCGCCGCCCTCGGTGACGCGCTTGCCTTGGTCGTTTTGGACGTCGTGAACAGTGCGGCATCCGTTGCTGTTGCCGGCGGCTTGCCGGAAGCACCGCCGGGGTCTCCGACGGGGGGATTGGCGCCCGTTGGAGGTGGCTTCGGGCCGTCCATTGCCACTGCTTCGGGTTTTGGGCAATTCCTTTTCCTTCGTGGTTCGTGCGATGCAAGGATTCCCGCTTCAGATGCGTTCGCTCCTATCCGATCCAATCCAGTTCAGTTCAATCCAGTTCAATCCTATACTATTCAATGTTTTCAATCCAATCCAGTCCAGTCCAGTACAATCCGATTCGATTCGAAACGAGGCTTGCTTGCCGTCTACCTCGCAAAGTTAGATGAGAGTGATTACCGGAAGTGATTAGTGCACCGTGTTGTTGTCAGTTGTTTGCTACAGTACTGGTATCGTCTGGAACATCATCCCTTGTACGAAGTAACAGATTCGAAAGGGCATCGACGTTTAGTTCTTTATGTCACAAAGACTACTGCCAACACTACTCGTAGTCGTTCCGTGAAACGACGTGACGGGACATGCTGTCCATCGTACGCAATTGTACCGTACGAAGGACCACATGCTCTCAAACCACAATTTACCGTTCTGTACGATACTGTACTGTACTTTGATTCGAACGGTTCGAAGTGCAACAAGTTTCTCTCCACGACGACGGCACCCATGATGTACCGTACTCCGTACGTAAAACAAATTACCATTCTACCGTACACTTCCCGCTTCGAAATTCAGACAACAAATTTCAAATTTTTCGTGAAGAACACGAACGACTCAATTTAAAAAACACGAGTTGAGTTATCCCACACGCACGCCGGCTGGTAGAACTCGGGACTCGCTACTTGCTACTRTGCTAGGTTTTCTTAGATTTGTACATCGTACTAAATGTAGGTACCGTAAGTATCGGTTGGAGATTGGAGATGTCCCTAGTCCCTACCGTACATACGCTACGTATTGTACGTGTACTCGTACGTACCGTACGAGCACGAATGCTCAGGATAAAAAAGGCAAAAGGCACAATGCACCGATCGATTCAATCGATTCAACATTTCGACGTACGTACGTAGATACGATACTGTACGGTAGGCTCGCATTTTGGATTGGAATTTGGAAATGGGAAATCTGCTCTCTCATCTGATTGTTTGGAAGATAAGAATTGGAAAGAGAAAAGACGGCAGGGTCCATTTGAAATACCGTACCAACGTGCAAACGGAGCGAACACTATACAACACAACACAACGCAACACAACGCAAGAGGCCAGGAAAACACAAAACCAACCACCACACGACACCAGGATGCCGCTCGAATTTCCACCACCGAAGCTGCATCCGCAGCCGGGGTACACGGCAATCCGGGGGTCCATTGTTCTCTTCTTGATCGGGTTCTTGTTGCTSCAGCAAGGTAGGGCATGGACGGGAACCCACAACCCGTCGGTGGCGATGGCGGTGGCCGGAAGAAAGAGGTCCCGCCCTCGTGGTTCTCCRGATTTGTTCCCGTTYGGAGCCACCACCCACCAATACCGATACCGATACCAACRCCAATATCAACAAGCAGCAACAGCAAGAACCGTCACGCTGGCAGCGGCTCCCACGGAAGAAATCGTTTCCATCGAAGCAGACCGCGACGCAACCAAAAGYCCAACACGGGAAGAACCAGCCAGCGRCACCGAAAACAACAGCAATGATAGCGACAGCGAAAACAGCACGGAGCAACGGCCCGGCACCAAGTCGCAAGAACCATCGGAACCACCGGACGTTCCGGTGCCGCCTGCTTCCGCCTGGGACGTCCTGGCCGGGAACGTTGCGGCRTGCCTCATTGCGAGCGACGTCAAACGGTCCTCGGGACTGGACGGATCTTCCACGGGCTGGACGTCGTGGATCGAAGAAAAATCCTCCTTTCGGCTGAAGCAGTGCGTCGACCGAATGGTCTTTGCCGAGGGCAGCACCGGCGACGGTGGTGCGGGAACCGACGGCGGCGAAGGCAACGACGCGGCAATGCCCACCACCACCACCGGGAATTCGCGGGACGAGACCCTCCGCTGGCTGAAATGGATGAGGGCCACCCCCGCGCCAATGGTAGTGGAGCTCTCCGAGGAGTTCCGGACCGCCGTCGACAACGCGCTGACGCAAGACGACTACGACCGAATGGACCGGGCGGCGGGCCGGTCCCAGGCCGACGAGGAAACCGCCGACACCACCCGCTCCGACTTTCTGGGTCGCATCGGCTGCCGGCTCCTCCTCCTGCCCTCCGGAGAGTCCCTCCGGGACAACCTCAAGACGCCCCCCGGGGCGATGGTCTACGGCAAGCTCCTCTACGGGGGCTGCAAGAGGTACCGGATCCTCGGCACCGCGGGGAACAACGGGGGCCGGCGSCCCCCCCGCCGGGCGGGCGAGCGRACCACCATCGTGCCCCCCGGGCCCTCCCCGAGGACCGCGGGCTGGCTCCAGTACGGCGGCCCCGAGCGCAACTACGAGGCCATCGACATGGGGCCCTGCGGGGTCCTGGAGGTCACCCTCCTTCCCAAGGACCTCAAGCTGGGCCTGCTGTCCGCGAGGGAATCGCCGGACCCGGGGGCGGACTCGCTGCAGCTTYCCGCCGGAGACGGCCCTCCGATGCCCCCCCTCGAGCTCCAGCCCACCGAAGAAATGGTGGCCTCGAAGGCCACTTCSTTCGATCCGCAGTGGCTCTTTGGGTTTCCTCCGGAGGACGCCGGCAACGCCACCGATGCGGGAGACGGATTGATCGCCCGCAACGAGACGTCCCCGGACGGCGATGGCTGCGCCAGCGTGGAGGAGATCGAAACCAGGTTCTCTTCCGTCCTCGGGGGCCTCCGGAACGAGATCCAGTCCATCGTTCGGCGGGTCCTCGACGGCAGGAGCCGCGGCTCCGGTGGGGGAACGGCATCGAATTCCGAGCTCCAGACGATGCTCGAGCTCGGCCTGTCCCCGGTCCGGGGATTGCTGCTGTACGGAAAGCCCGGCTGCGGCAAGACGGCCCTGGCCCGGGAAATCTCCCGGCTGCTGACCGACCGGCCCCCCGTGATCGTCTCCGCCCCCGAGCTCCTGGACCGGTGGGTCGGGGGAACCGAGACCTCCGTCCGGAGGCTCTTCGAGGCCGCCGAGGCCGAGCTCGCCGTCTGCGGGGGGGATCCGGCCAAATCCGGCCTCCACGTCGTCGTCATCGACGAGATCGACGCGGTCTTCCGGCAGCGGTCCTCCTCGTCGGGCAGCGGAGAGGTGGCACGGGCCTCGGCCGTGAACCAGATCCTGGCCAAGCTGGACGGGGTCAACGCCCTTGGCAACATACTGGTGATCGGGACCACCAACCGGAGGGAGCTCCTGGACGAGGCCCTCCTTCGGCCGGGCCGGCTCGAGGTCAAGATCGAGGTCCCGCTGCCGGACAGGGAGGGTAGAAGGGAGATCCTGAAGATCTACTTCGATCCACTCCGCTCGAGGGGGAGACTGAGCAAGCCCCTCTGTTCCGCCATTGATGGAGGGAGGAGCCGAGGCAGCAGCAGCGGCACCGAGGACGACCCGCGGAWTCCGAAGGGGCAAGCCCTCGGCAAGCGGGAGCGCATGCGGTCCTTCTTGTCGGAGCGCCTTTCCCGGAGGGTGGGAAGCGGCGCGGGACCCCCCGTGCTGGATCTCGCCGCGGATCGCTGGACCGGGGGCTTTTCGGGGGCCGACCTCGAGGGACTGGTGCGGTGTGCCGGATCGCTGGCACTGTCYCGGGCCCGCAGGGACGGCAGCGGCGTGGACGGGCTGCTGATCACCACGGARGACGTGGTCCGGGCCCTCCGGGAGGTCAAGCAATAACGCGATTTCCAAGCCAAGCCAATCCAGACCAGATCCAAACCGAAATCCAAACCAAAATMYAAACCCAACACAAAACACATCCAAGCCGACCAAACACACGAGATGCAGATGCTTGCAGCCCAAGGTATGACTCCGCCGCAGAACAAAAAGCCTCCACCAACGCATCCATTGAACAAGGGAAGAGCGCAGGGATGGACAGAATCCWACGGATTGTCGGAACGCCACTAGTACTATCTAAAAAGGGGGATCGATCTGAGACGCTTTCGATACCAGTAGGTATGATTTTTTTGTAGTATAGCTGCCCGTAAGTACAGCAAATATCTATTGGAACCACTAGTACAGTAAAAGAATAGATCTTTGAAGAAAAGATGCATGATTATTGATTATCTAAAGTTGAGAGAGATACAATTTGACATCTGAGCTGCTTCCGAAAGAAATTGAAAGATGCTAATGTACGGTACGTCCTGTACTTCTATTTGTTCKTACGATACTTACAGGATGACAATACAGTAGTAGTTGTGAGGCCTAAAACASACTAAATCATAAGCAATCACGAGTAGATAGTGAGTGGACAAGAATTCCCCTCACTCTTTATTGTAAACACGTAGTTATACGACACTAAAGAGCATACGCAGATTTCGCAGGTTATGAGCAACAAGGAACGYACCTCCATCTCATCAACCATCATCATCGTAACAATGAACTACATGGCATACCAATCGCCATGAACCTACCAAAGCCGAACTATAGACAMAACAGTCGGCCTGCGACAAGAATTCCCCTCACTCTTTATTGTAAACACSTAGTTATACGACACTAAAGAGCATACGTAGATTTCGCAGTAGTTACCATACTTCGTTCGAGTACGGTACTTGGTACGAGTACTGTACGGTACGTACTCGTACTATGTCGAATTTCGATTTCGATCATTATCCCTAACCCCACCGTAACACATAACRCAAAGAGATGACGTGATGACGTGGTATCGCACGTTTTTTGTTGTACACATGTGTTTCATTCTCCATGAATACAGTACGCGAGCACGAGTGAGTTTCGGTTGGCGTGAATGGTTTGACGCATTCATGGCAGCTCTACTAGTAAAACCAAGTACTACGTACTACAGAGTTCATTAGCTGCCTGCCTGGCTGCCAGTAGAAAAGAATGAATGGGGTATCTTTTCGGAACAGTTTCGAGCGATGTGTTTCTTTCTCCGGTTGCAATCTTCCCGTCCCGTCTGACTCGACCCAACCAACTCTGTTCTATCGATGAGGGGCATTCTGTGATTCACTTCTTGCTTTTTGGTATTCGGAGGGCATCGGTTCCTCAGTTGCAGTTGGATTGAACTTTAAACACAGCAATATCATAACCCAAATATTTGGAAGTGAACAGGAAACTTTCTCAACAGAACAAAGCGTCCCAAAAAGAAGAAAGGCAAGAGCGGACTACTTTTTCTTGTACAGCACAAAGCAATCGACTTAGAAAAGAYAGAAGAAACACACACTCGCGATAGTACAATGAAGCAATCGGTAGCCACGTTGTTGGTTCTGGGAACCGTGCTCCAGTCGTCGGACTCGTTCGTGACAAACCATCCGAATGCCGGAGGGAAGCCATTGGCTATTGCGCAAAAGACTATGGCGGGCACAGGCCTACCTACGGCAACCACCGTCGCCAGATGGGCTTCGACCATGGACGAGAAGGCCGTTGACGAAAAGGTTTCCGAGGACGAAACCAGCGACGACAGTGATGTTCGGTTAGGGGATATTAACAAGAACGAGGACATCAACAACTTTTCGASYATCGCCGACGRCGACGWGAAAGAAAGCTCGGTCGGCTTTGGGGAACGCGTCGCAAATTCCGGGGTTGCATCRGCGGCAGCCATGGCCACCGCCGCTGTCAACGCGGCCGTCTCGATGAAGACCCTCGAGGCACCCGATGTCACCAAGTCGTACATTGCACTCGACAAAACCCAGCAGGAACTCGACGAGGAGGGCCTCCCCCTCGTCTACGATAAGGACGTCATCGAGGCCTATTGGAGCAAGGAAAAAGGCGCGCTGAACAAGCGTTGGGGATATTTCGTTGGAAAGGCCGTGCCTTTCCTGACCAAGCTCACCACCCTTTTTATTCGGGACGGAAAAATCGAGGAGAAGGAAATCCCCGCCCTGAGCCGACAGGCCCGATTGGATCTGCAGGACCTGGGGCCGACCTTCATCAAGGCCGGCCAGATGATGAGCGTCCGCCCGGACGTCCTGCCGCAGTCGACCCTGGACGAGCTTACCAAGCTCCAGGACAGTGTCGAGCCCTTTGACACTAAGGTTGCGGTAGAACAGATAGAGAAGGAACTCGGGGGTCCCCTGGGGCAATTCTTCACGTCCATCTCGGAAAAACCCGTGGCGGCGGCCAGCCTAGCACAAGTTTATCTGGCGACCCTGAACGACGGAAATGACACCAAGGTGGCCGTCAAGGTTCAGCGACCGAGCGTACTGGGAACCGTCTCGAAGGATTTGTACGTCCTAAGAAGGGCAGCCGAGGTCTTCCAGGGCCTAGTAGAGCGTTTCGCTCCACAGCAAAGGTACGTTACGCGCTATAGTTCCGTCGAGATTTTTGGGGATGCCGCACTAGATATATTTTAGCAAGTTCCACAGCAGCRCTTTCTAATTTTATTGTTTTCGCTATTCCAAATCATGATCAAACTGACGAAATCGCAGAACCAATTACGTTGCCCTGTTGAACGAATGGTCGATCGGATTTTATACAGAACTCGATTTCAACAACGAGGCACGAAACCAACAAAAACTCCGAGACTTGTTAATGGAGAAAAAGGTCAAGGGTGTAAAGGTGCCAAAGGTATACAACGAGCTATGTACGAGGCGGATACTCGTCAGTGAGTGGGTGGAAGGAAAGAAACTGAGCGACGCTTCCAACGAAGAAATCAATCGGGTCACACCCTTTGCGCAGGAAGCATTCCTAACGCAGCTCTTCGAGGTGGGATTCTTCCACGCCGATCCCCATCCCGGGAACCTCATATTACTCGACGAGCCGACCGAGGCCGGGGAAGAGCTTGCCCTGATTGATTGCGGTCTCATGGCAGCAATCAACGAGGAAGATCGCGACTTTATGATCTCCGCCGTGATCCATCTGGCGAATAAGGACTAYGCTAGTCTGGTCGACGATTTCGTCAAGCTCAAGATTCTCCCCGAAGACACCAATCGTGCAGCGGTCATTCCGCTGATGGACAAGGCACTGAGCCCTTACGTCAAGGGCGGTGGAGCCAAGAAATACGAGGAAGAATTGAAGAAACTCTACAATATGGAAGACGGAAACATGCAATCGCAGGTTGGAGGATTCCAGGCCATGACACAGGACGCTCTAACTGTCTTGAACGATGTCCCATTTTCAATCCCGCCCTACTTTGCCATCCTGGGACGAGCCATTGTAACCCTTGAGGGTGTAGCTCTAACCGGAAACCCCGAGTACGGAATCATCCTTGAGGCCTATCCCTTTATCGCGCGAAAGTTACTGACCCGTGAGTCTTCCACGGTGCAATCGGCCCTACAGGAAGTTCTCTATGGAAATAACGATGATGGTACATCAGGATTGAAACTGTCAAGACTCTTGGCGTTGCTGAACAATGCTGCTGGAGCAGTAGCCACCCAAGACGGTGCCGTTTTTGTGGACATCGACGCCGTGCCGGAAGACGGGATCGACTTCCAGCAAGGACTGAAGTTTATCATGTCCGAGGATGCCGAAAGCTTGAGGACYCTTCTAGAACCCGAGGTGGATTCGATCGTGGATATATTGACGCGACAAATATTYCGGCAAGGGATCCAGGAGGCAATCGTGGCACTGACTCCKCCGCGTCCCCCCGCCATTCCGTTCCTCGGAGATATCCTTCCGCCTAGCCCCAAGCTCGARGAACTCCCGCTGCCACTGCTTCTTCCGGGTGCAGAAGGGGTGCGGTCGCCATCATTTACTGTGACAACCCTTAAGCAGCTGACGGATGCAGTTGCACCAAAACTGAACCAAAAGGATGAGCTGTTTGCYTTGGGGCTCGCGGATGCCGCGCAAGAATTTTTCGGAGAGGGTATGGGAGACTTTGTTCGGGGTGAGAGCGTATTGAGCAYAAAATCAATTGAAATCTTGCTGAGCGGCCTACGATCRGGTGTTGTTGGCAAAACCGACCTGCTRAGTCCGGAGGCAGTAGAGACTGTCATAGATACACTTTCAAACGCTCTGACMCTGGCTCAAGGATCGTCTGCATCGGAGCTATCGATGGAGAAGGAGTTGAGAGAAGCTGTTGATAACTTGGATCCCTCAGAGAAAGAGCGGTTAGATGAAATCGTCAACGAAGTGACAAAGCGATCCATAACTCGATTTCTGGAACGATTGTCAAGCTTAGAGAGCGCATGAACTTAATAAATGATAACAATAGATATAAACATTAATTCTAAAAACTTAAACTATCTGATACTGATTTAATRGTTATTTATTTTTCACTGTCACAACTTGTCAAAAAACACTAGTTTCGTTTAGATCTTTTTGTCCAAGTTAGATCTTTTTGTCCAATTAGATTAGTTTTGTTTCGCCGGTTCTCAAAGGCGAAAAATCTTTTTATCTACGGTAGGTGTAGACATTACATTTAAAGTACAGCTGCACGACCGATAGTGCAACGGCAATGTTGTCGGATCTCATTATATACTTCTCAACGAGCCGGAGTGGGGTTTCCAGCAGCAGGGGGGACGGTTGGATTGCGCGTCGGAATCATAGTYGGAGGTAGAGATGGAGAGAGGGCAGAAACTACTGTTTGAGGTAGAGTTGGGCTAGGGAATGGAGCTGAGTTGGGGGGTAGAGTCGGTTCAAGGCTAGGATGAAGGCTGGGATAAGAGCTATCAGAGGGATGTACAGTTGATCCGGCACTAGGAGGAGGACTRCTACTAAGAGTAGTACTGATACTTGTTGGGCTAAAGGTTGGCCACCATGATGCAGTTGGCTCGTAGGTTGGACTTCTATCACTCGGTATAGAACTTGGGTAATAGCTTTCAGAAGGAGGCTGCGTTKGAGTTGGAACATCTGTGGGAGAAACACTATTTTTTGCGGTAGGTGGGGCRCTTGAGGAACTGGTGGTACTGATACTAGGAACAAGAGTAGYAAGAGAAGCTGGGGGATACGTCATAAAAAGTGTAGGTGGGGGGAGTGTCGGTGTTACGAGAGGATTCGTCTCTACGCTCATGCTCATGCTCATGCTCATACAAAGATTGAAATCATTGGACAGCTCGAAATCCTWTTACGCATGATATATTTAAAAATAATAAGGAATKGGGAATTGGGAAGAACAAGAATATCAGTAACTACAGTCACACAAAATTCATTCGGTCGCAAAACAATAAGAGTAAAAGCGCCGTCATTACCACAGTTTTTTMCAAAATTAATGCGTCACTTCACAGAAAGCCTTCTTTCTATCGGAATCTTTGCGTCATTACCTACCTCGAAATACATCAAGTCTGCAGTSGTCAATCTGTTATTACGGTCATTCAGTTTTGTTTTACGTGGAAGAAAGCCGGAACTATCGGAACTTGACTCGCTCATCATTCTGTTTCTTTTGAATTTTTGGGCGGCGCAAAACGGATCACCAAGCAAAAATGCAAACARGAAAGCGACCTTGAAGAGACTAAGCATTTCTGGCGTTAGAGCTAATGAAACGGRCATTGTAATGCAGTRTGTTGTATCGCGAGTAGAAATTATTTCAAAGCGTTGCTTTCTAKTTGCTCTGAATCAGAGTTTATGAACTTWAAGAATTGTAGGAATCGAAAGAGAGCAACGAGAGTAAAACTTTTTTTTCGTATCGTCTAMAAGGCATGAACCATATAGAAACAAATTATCACAACCCCTCAGATGATATGACATTCAATCCACGCTATATCCTTAGCTAGGATGGAGGATTCACGGTATCATTTCCTGATCTTTCCATATCCAAATGAATTATCACAACCCCCTCACATATTATACATTCAATCCACGCTATATCCTTACTATGATGGAGGATTCACGGTATCATTCCAGACCTATCAACAGAAATCAAAGCGTGTTGATCCGTGCATGTTCCGAATATGAACGACCTGAACAGACATTATCGAAAGGAAACATGTAATGTATTTACCTCAAAACTTYRAATGCGGTCAAGCATGTCAGTCGGGGACGCGCCCGTCCTGTTGCCACGACTGGTGCAAATTTAGTCTAAAAAACTTYAGAACTAGAAGCCTCTATCGAAATCGAAATCAAATCTGTGCCTCTGTTATCATGGCTACAGAATGTGTTCAAACCTGATACGCCGCAAAGGGAGAGAGACGAGTAGATCAAGCCAGGAAGCTCTAGTAGCAGTTTCTTCARCAAACGACTCATAGGGTTGAAGTGGTAGTTACAGAACAGTCATATTCCTGGTTTAACTTTTACAACTAGTATGGTTTACTATGTCCCTCGTACAAATTACTCCCCCAATCCTATGGTTGTTGAACCACGATTACTGCTTTGCTTGAATGCCACCAAACACCTCCTTCCAAAAAGAAGGTGTAATCCAGTTATAAGCGCATTCACCTGTGTTTTCCTTTGCCACGCTGAACAATTCATCAGCCATCTTTCTGTCGGTTTTGGAAATCATGGAAGCAAGTTGATTCTCGTTACTTCCGAAATTACTTTTGCTGGCAACGAGTTGCTTTGTTACGTGTCCAACGTCAAAAAGGCATTCAAAATATTTTAATTGTTTCTGGAGTGAACGTTCTGATACCAAAGGCTTCATGCGTCCATTGCAGCCACGGCTCAAGCATACGCCACCGCATACAGACAATTGTCGTGTTTCCAAGCCACAAGCAGGATCGTCGCATTTCAAGACTCCTTCGTGGTAGGCCTGAATATGACCTCTCATCAACATTTCCATTGAGTTCATTATTCGTGCCATGCACTCAAACGGGGAGGCGTCACCCAAATATTGAGCTTCGCAATCGGGATTCGAGCATTTGAAACCTGTACACAATGTCCCCGTTTCATCTCCCTGGCTCTTTCGCAAGTAGAGTAAACCTCGGAATTCACTCCTTACTCCACATGCAGAGCAAGTCAAAGAGAGTTTTTCAACGTCACCGAACCGTTCTTTGTCTGTCTTGTATGATTCTGGGACGTAGTTCACTAGTTCGTCATCATTCATCTCACCATCCCCGAATGATCGACGTTGCGTATACTTGGAGGCGTTCAAACCCAAGCGCTCCGCAATCAAACCTTGCGATAAACCCTCGATGGGTTCACACAGACGAGACACTGGCGGGAGAATTTGCTGAGTCAGATACCACTCAACATCGGGTTTAAGAACACCTCCACTTCTAATGATTTCGTCCGGATGACGAGCTCTCTCTGCGACCGATTTGGATTTTTTGTTGTTGTCATTGTTAGCTTCCTCGGTTTCGAGAGGTTCGCAGATAACGTAAGGGATGTGGTCTCCCACTGTCAACCTACGATTGTTCTTGATCATCATCTTCGCGACATGTACATGGGGCAAAGCTCTGCCATCRGGATAATCTGTAGAAAAAAAACAATATTGTGAATAAACAATGGTCTTTTTCCGTTCTCTTGGTATTTATTGCCCGCTTTTTACATACCTTTGGGGTGTTTACTCAATCCTTTCGTAATGACATATTTCTCCAGTGGAAGCTTTCCCTCCCTCATATTTTGAGCAAGTTGCTCTAGATTGTCGAGAATTTTAGACAGAGTGACTTCCTTTTCCTGTTCTGTGGATAAAATCTGGTCGAGCACGTAATGGCCAGTATCCTTGCTCTGTACACACCAATCTCTTCGCACCAAATCCAGACCTTTTTCCTCTCGTCCMACTTTAATTTCTCCGTTCCGATTTTGTTCGATCGTCACGGCTGCATACTTTTTCTTCTTCAACAAAAGCATCGTGCGGAAAATACCATCAATTTCCAATTCTAGAGTTCGATAAAGTTTGTTCACTTCCTTCTTCACTTGTTCTCCAAGTTTGCGGACCGTAGAAAGAGCATTCGTGTCGCTGATTCGGGTGTTGATCATAATACTATCGGTRTCTCCGTAGATAACTTCTAATCCTACTGTGGATTGCGCAATTTCAACGGTGCGTTGAAGCGTTTGACGCCCCATCGATGTCACCAGTGCAGCAATGGGCTGGGCGTAAAATCGAGAATTCGAAAACCCGAGACAACCGTACATAGAGTTGGCTGTTAGCTTGAAAGCCTTCTGCTTGATGTCCAACTAACATGAAAACATTGGTTTCAATTCGAACGAATCGAGGAAAAACGGATTAGAAACTTTCGAGACTTAAAATACATTCAAGGAAAACCAAACTATGCTATCGTCGACTACTTACCTCATCGTATTTTTCTCGATTGTTTTCCTTCTTCATCATCCCTTTGACCTGGCGACGGCGCTGGACCAGATTCTTAATGACCCTCGCGAGCACACCGGTTTCTTGGGATTCGTCGGGGAGTGGTGGCAATGCTACCTCGGTGGCGTTGCTGTTTGGATTGGACGTCTGCTCCTTTGCCGCCTCGATTTGTTGCTTGTGGAAAGCGGCCCAGCCGTCCACGGTGGTGAAGCACAGATTGTATTCCTGGATCAGCGAGGGGTACAGACTGTTGAAATCTAGCAACAGAATGAATGTATCGTAAAGCCCCTTTTTGGGATCCAGGACCAAACCACCGGCATACTTGGCCTTRCCGGCGTCCTCCTTCTTGCCCTTGTGTTTTTCCGGCACAAGGTACTTGAGCCGGTGAAATTCGTGGAGGAGAAGGTATTCGGTCCGGCCGGCCCGGTTGCTCTTCATGGTTTGCGACCAGAGGTTTCCGGCAATGTTTGTCAGCTGCTTCGTGAGGGGCAGGATCTGCAGCTTGAACATGAGACGCTGGACCAGCTGGGCATCGTTGAGCGTGTGCCGGGCCAGAGCTACGATGGTTTCGCTCTTGTGGAAGTACTGCGGCGTGTCCATGGGCTCGATCTCTTGGCGGTCTGTTCTGAGCTGGGTTTTCGCTAGGTTGGTCAGCGAGTACGTCGTCTCGTTGAGGTGCTCCTGTGCGCTAAGATAGGTGTCGCACAGGAGGCGACCAGAGATGGCTTCGGAGATGGCCCAGTCCTTGCCCGAGGAAAAATACGTCTTGCTCGGGAGCTCCGTCTTGCGCTGCCGCCCAAACTTGGACCACATGCGGACCTTGTGCTCCACGCAGCGGGTCAGGAGGACCTGGATGTCGTGCCCCCACGCGTGGTGGCCAACGAGGACGTCTGGGTCCCAGTTCCCGATCTGCGTGACGAGATAGCTCAGCAGGGCCCGCTCGTTCGGCATTTTTTTTAGCTGCGGCATCTTTGCCCTGAGTTCCTTGTCCATGTCGCGGGGGAACTTGGCCATTCCCCGCTGGATGGTCCCGGGTCCCGAGTCCAGGTGGATCGGACGGATCAACGAGACCTGCGTCATGAGCTGGGGGGACTGGTCCGTTCCCGTGTCGAGCTGGACCTTCTTGTGGCAGACGGCACTGACCGACACAATCTCGTTCTTGGCCGTCTTGGGGTTTAGGACCGTCTTGAGCTTGAGCGTGACGGATACCACGGGGGGTGCCGGGCGGGGTGGGGTTCCGGCGGCCACGAGGGAATCGAGGCGCTTGACCTGCTTCGGGTTCCCCACCTGCAGCTCCAGGGCACACCAGGACACGCTGTGCTCGCTGGGATCTGGTTCCGCGATCCGGATCCAGCAGGGTCCCATGAGTTTGCGCTTGAGCAAGAAGGTTTCCAGGATCGAGGCCTTKCCGTTCAGAATCTTGGCCACGCATTCCTTCCCGCCCCCGGTGCAAATCTCCTCGCTGGGGGACGGATATTTGGCGTCGTACACGACCTTCATGTAGGAGGTTTCCTCTCGCGGGACGTCGGGATCGTCAAAGGCGTATTTGCGCTGGACRACCTTGCCGGCCCACGAGGCACCGGCTACCTTCGGAATGCAGCTGGGCTGGAGGATTCCCTTGAGTTCCTGGTGGACCTTGTCCCAGCCGACGTATTCTTCTTCACCGTCGTCGCCGGTGACTTTCTTGGGCAGCACAAAGAGGTTGCGGAGGTTCCCCTTGACGACAGCACAGCAGCTCACGAATTTCTTTTCGCTCGTTTGGTCCGGAAGGGCTACCTTACCAAACAAGAGGACGTCTCCGTTTCGGCGCTCGGCTGCGTCCATGTAGTAAAAGTCTAGGTACGACATTTTGTGTTCGTYATCGGTGCGTTCCAGATAGGACTCCAGGTTCGAGGAAGCCGCCGAGGTGGTGGTGGGTTCCGYGGCGATTTCCTGGGGAGAAAAGCTGGCGGACGTCGTGTCCATGATGGGGGTCGCAAAGGCGTTGGTTTGGGTCTTCTTCGACTCGCTCGCGGTGGCCGGGGGTTTCGGTTCGCGCTCCTTCTCGGCCGCTTTCTGGGCCGGAGCCGACCGCTGCAAGAGTTTTTTCTTTTTGGCCATCAGGAGGCGCCGGGGTTTCTGGGGCGGGGATTCCTGTCCCTCGGCGGCATCGTYGCCGTTGATTGGTTTCGCTTCGGCTTGGGTTTCTGGTTGTGTGATTTCCCGAYCCTCCGGCGAGAWATCTGGCYCTGGCTGGTCGACATCCATGTCCTCYGGCTTGGGGGAATCGATGGAGGGGTCTYCCTCGCCTCGGGCATCGGGTTCTGCTTTTACGGGGGTGCTTGTAGCAGCAGCTGCGGCATCGGCCTTTGCCTCTTGGGWACCGCTGCGGCCAGCCGTTTCCTTCCCAATCTCGTTGTCGTTGCCAAATCCAGCGTCATCGTCGTCGTCTCCGTATCCCGAGGCGGCAAAGTCGTGGTCGTAGTCATCTTCCTCCTCCTCCTCGCGGTGGTTCCCACGGYGAAAGCTTCGCTCTCGCGAAGAAGCCGGGGCTCGCTTCCGGGAGTACGTCCGGCMGTGGCGAAGCCCTCTGYGCTTGGCCCGCTTCGGGAGTCCCCCCCCGAGRCCGTCGAGCTCCCCCAGCAGGTCGTCGAGATCGGGCCGGCTGCCACYGGTTCTCCCTCCCGGGCCGGAACGGTCCRAGCCCCCCGTTGCGCCGGCATCGGCGGTGGCCGAGGCCCCCACCCGGACAAAGTCCCACATGGAACGGTTGGAGGAGGCCGCCCCCTCGCCGGCGTCGTCCGCGGGGGAGGTCCCGTCCCCGGCCCACCGGTTCTTCTGGGCGGCCCGGTTCTTGCGCATCTTTTTSAGGGACCTGGCCGTCAGGTCGGCGGTGCTGCGCTTGGCTCGTTTCTTGGACGCGGAACCGTCGTTCTCCTCGTCCCCGAGGCGTTCTTCCCCGTCGTCGTGGTACCCGAGCCCGTCTGCGTTTCGGAAAGRGAACGACGCACGCGCGACGGAAYGGATGCAAAGGAAGCGCAGGGAAAGCGAAACGCAACGCMAGCAAACGAAACGAGTTGGTTTGGAATCTTTTGTGAGAGAGGGCAACAAAGAAAAAAGGCAACAAGAATGGCTGCAATTCCTGTTGCGAACGAGAGGGATGGGTGTCACGCAGAATCCCTAGAATTGCCGCCGTAGCAACAACACAACACAACACAATGCGATGCATGCAATACTTGCATGCGGGAGAGCAGGATACGTACCATCGTCGACCACGAAATCTTCTCGYTGCCGCCTCGACTCGACTAGATTCTGGTATTGGTCCTGGTCCACCAGCTCGTAGACGTCTTCTTCTTCCTTGAACAGACCGGATTCCTCGTCGAGCGCGTGGACCCCGTTCCTGCGGTTGTTCTTGAACCGGCTCATGGCGGCCTTCTTGGCGGCCTTTTTTGCGGCGGCCGACGACATGGTTCCTGTTTCGGCCTCGTTTTCTTCGGTGTGTTGCTCGCTGGTTGGTGTCGGTGTAGAACGCTCKGTGTTTGGCTTGCACGGCTGTTCGTGGGCRATGGCTGTCTCGGAGGTGCGGACGGTGAGAGGGTCCTTCGGAGTCCGAGTCGCAAGTCTGAACAGAGTACGATGTTGTGCAATTGTGACAAATGACAACGGAGGCAAGGTGCCCTACCCGTTTCGGGCCCGTTTTAGCGCACTTCAAAGTATTGCACGGTACTCGTTCTACTAGTAGCACGAGTACGTATTCTTCCCTACCGTACAGAAGATGGAAATCCTTTTSCAGTCCTTTTACAGGAGCGGAACCAGAGAAACTAGAAACCACTACAGAGCAGGCACGTAGTGATGTCAGGTACAAACGTASGGGGGGACAATTGAACGGAGATTTTGCTACGGTTTTTCTATCTCACCTACCGCATCCAGCGCTACCATCGGGGTAGGTTGGCGCGCCATCCCAGCATTGTTACTTCGCGCCAAAAGGAAAAATTACGACAGACAACCATGTTCCCAACCCAATACTACTCTTAGTATCTAGTAAYCATATGATGGATAGAAAGCTTGCACGACGTCTCATTTCACGTTGGTACCGGTACAACTATCGTACCGTACTTCCGTCAGTACATACCGACATGAGTATCTTGATCACATTACCCGAGACAACATGGAAGCAAAATTGCACAAGTTTGGCTGGCGATATGGGCCTTACGGCATTTGGATTGTTTCTCCRGCATGGAAAAAAGGTGGTAATCTTCCCAGAATACGAAGTACTRATAGAGCAGGCCTATCCACTGCGTACCAGAGACGGACTTCATATAATGTTCYACATAGCAAAATACCTTTTGTTTGTTTTGTTATGGGCCTCTCACTATCTCCAATGTTTTTATAACTCTAAGATTCATCCAAAATGATATGTTATTTATTTTAGCGTTATCAAGGTTATAATCGTACGCTCTAACGATGAAGTAGTGCGTCCCTAAACAATACGATTGCATTCGTTCTCAGGGCATAGTTTGCAGTAATACATTGATGTTGTCGAAAGACCCTCGGCGCAACAGGCATACCAAGTGTGCACCRAAGAGCAAACAAAAGCAACAGTGCACAAAGCGTCGTCGTCYCAGTCGCGGTCCCGGGGTAGTTTTCGAATCCAAAGAGCACCAGGAACTCGTACAAGGCATTGCATGATGCCAGATCTTGCGCTTTGGCACTTTGTGGTCGAGTTCGGTTGCAACGCATCCCAATGTTCTGGATGCCATGATTTCCAATCATTGAACGCAGTRCTGTGGTAACTGTTGCTAGATGCGTACGCATCCATCCATCCGTGCGTCAGTCCGACACCGGCAACCTCGAGAACAACTTGGCTCTGGGAATTCTGGCCAGGAACCGATTTTTCCAGCTGCCGAGGTAGGCGTACGAGTCGTCGAAATGGATTCCTGCAATATAACCCGTTGTACCGGTGGGGTCTTGGTAGGCRCGCAAAAGCTCCCCGGTATCGGGGTCTAGGGCCAGCAGCAACCCGTACTTCTTGAAGCACTTGAGCAGCATTCCCCTAGGCAGAGTCGCGACGAGCTTCCGAATCTGTGGCCAACGATTCAAGAACCGAACGACCGGCGACGATTTCGTGGAGGTTCCCACCCAAAGAACCGATCGGTTCCATTCGTTGCTGTGGAAAACGTGCAGGTTGTCCGGAATTCCCGGCAGGGYAGCAAACAACRCCGGCTCCGGAGCGACCCACCCGCTCTCGCCGTGGTTCGAGAGGTCGATGCGAATGATTTGGTGCCGGGTGGTCAGGGCCACCAGCAGGCTCTTGTCGTTGTCCCTCAGGACAAGCCCGTTCGGAAAGGGAAGATCGCTCGCTACCAACCGGCTCACTTCCGTGTCGGGATTCCAGGACACCACCCGTCCCGTGGGGCGGGATTCCAGCGTCTCGAGCAACACGTCGCTCCGGCGAAAGCGGGASGAGCTGTCGGACAGAAAAATGGTCCCATCTCCGGCCCGGGCCAGGGCGTTGGCAAAGAACAGGGGCTGACCGGCCACGGCCTCCAGCAACGGRACGATGGTTCCCCGCGAAAAGACCAGCATCAATCCTTTGTATGCGTCGGCCACCAGGCWRAGAGGGGTTTCTGCTTCTGCCGGTTCCGAACCGTTGCCCTTKTCTTGCTTGGTTGYCGCCGGCGAGTCGTAGTATCGCTGGTAACGATCGTAGTCTTCCGGCGGCAGCTTGAGCAGCCCCAGCGGGCGACCGCAACGGGATTCCATGTGCATTGCACCGCAATCTTCGTGGATCTCCCCCGTGTGCGCAAACGGCAGAGCCACCATTGTCCGAAGGTTGACTCGGAGAAGATCGCCGTTCCCCATGCTCCAAATCCACTCGTCGCCGTTGCCGGTGCCGTCCAGGCGGAATCCGTCTTCGGGTGCCTCCAAGCCGAGCAGGACGTGCTCCGYATCTACCAGAAGAGGATCGTTTTCGTCGGCAGGAGACGGAAGGTCCACTCGCTCGGTTTCGAACGATGGACACGGATCGATAACGGTGACRAATCCCCCCTGCCAGGGCAGAGACAAAGGCGACGACGACCCTCTTGTCCAAACGGCGAACGCTGCAACAGCGATCGCGACCCCCAATCCTGCGTGAGTTAGCCACATGAGTTGTCTCTATGAATTGTGGTCTAATCCAGCGACACGATGAAACGATGTCCAAATGTACTCGAACTAGGCAGAGAAAATTTCCGGTACTGCCGTGAAGAGGATTTTCACATCCAGTGTCACAGGTCACAAGACAAAAATAAAAAATATCTTTCAAAAATGCACTAACGAACTTGGGATTCAATGTACCGTACGTACGAAGTAGAATTACATAAGCACAGTACTAAGCTGCAAGCTTGCTTAGGACGTACGAGTACCATATTTGTATTGGTAATACGTACGAGTACCTTTGTCCGTACGGTATCGTAGTCGTTAGATTTTTAGTTTTAGCAACGTAACTCAACATTATATACTATGATACTATACGTATGGTACTACCCTGAAACCTTAGTTTCCTGGACATTGATCCAAACGTGCTTCGTTTTGCGGTGTCAGACAGGAGCTGTGGCTCACGACTCTACAGAAACAGAATGACGTTAGCGGACAACGACAGCAACAACATCACGCAAGGACACGGCAAGGACAGGTGCTGTGCGTGAAGTACCGTACGGTAGTGAGTTGCCAGAGGACGAAAGAGTGAATCCAATCACCGTCGTTGATCGAGCACAGACTCCGTCGCAACAAATCCATTGATACCTTCTGTTCGGCATACAAACATCCGCAGGCAATAGTTTTTCACCATGAACCAATTCGCGACACTCGTCTTGACTCTTCTATTGGCATCGCTGTCGTCGACGGCACGCGCCTTTGTGTCTCCGTCCCCCGGGGCCCCGGTTGCCCGGCAGCAGATCACCGTTTCCGCCCCGCTGTTTGCGGCCGCGGMCGAGACMGACAGCGACCTGCTCGAAATCGAGCTGAGCATGCCCCCCTCCAACTCCAACGTCGTGGCCAGGCTCAAGTTCCCTTCGGTCTTTTCCGGACCGAGCGAGCTCGTAGAGGTTCGGTACAAGCTCCCCTTCGGACTGAACGTGGAACCAAAGAACAACCTCGCCATGTGCACCGCCGACGGGGCCGGCGGGGAAAGGGTCGGGGATGTTTTGAGGTATACCTCCCAGTGGACCATGGGMATCCCGCAGGGYGACGGGGTCGTCACGACCGTTGCCTCCTTCAGCGGGGGCATTTCCTGGCAGTGCAGYATGTTCGACGTGATGAAAGCAAAGGACTGGCCGCGGGTGGTCGAGGCGTTGACGTCCAACGTCGAGGTGAGGCAGTTGTTCGCTTCGTTTTGTAGGGTTGTGCAATGCCCTGCATTGCCCCACTTCCAAAGCYGCGCAATKCCGCGTCGGGTGTCGCCKCYGTCGTTTTCTWACGCTCTKCCTTTCYTTTTCCTTTCATGCCCCGAATCCTTCCTCCGATCAAACGAATTGCACGCCAGAGCCGCACCGACGAGGTCGTTCTTGTTTTCGAACGTGAAGTCAGTCCCTGATTTGTTGTCCCTGATTTGTTGTCCATCGACGGGGAAGGCAACGAACGGACGGAACTGATTTCCTTGCTCGCTTCAGTGGCTTTTTCACACTAAAACGCATGCTACRAAGCAYCCGTTCACTTTTTAGAAAGCCCTCCGTCTTCTCTACAGAAAGTAGTTGATTKAACSAATTCTAGAACAAACATTCGAGATGTTGAAAAAGGTGCCGATCTAGGAGTTCGAGTGGTGTAATGCGGCRTGCTGTAGTATTGTTTCTATTGTACATWTCAAAAAGTTAGTTCTGTTGTATTGCGGGGAACATCTCGATTTTGGATCGCTTTAACGTAATGGGACACGAACCCCATTGCCGAAAACGCAAGTGTTTTTGGTTTCTTCCTTCCTACATATACTATCTCCGTTCGTTCCCGCAYCTTAGTTGCCRCTGCTCGGTTGCTTCTTGTACTTGCTCATGAAAAACTTCATCTTGTTTCGTGTTTCCGGTGACGTCACGGTGGGATGGCGCGGCGGGTGGTTGCTGTGGAGGCTCTGGTTYTCTCCCCCCGCTTTCACGCGCAGGGTGYGCTGGTTTCTGCGGATGGAAATCGTGGCGGTCTTGGGAGAGGCTACGCTGAGATTGTCGTCCATGAGCGAGACGCTCTCCCCGAAACTGAACTCGTCGATCCCRCCAATGGAAGCGCCGCCGGATCGGGGGGGACTCGTCGGGCAGATCATCTGCAGTTSGTTCAAATGYCCCTTGTACAAGGARCCAGACGAATCGGCTTCTCCGCCGGTCGTCACCGAGGACGTGGTGGGYGTCATCGGGCGTTGCAATTGTTGCTTTGGTCGGTTCTTCCGRTCGTAGGGGGTGGGGTAGAACACTTCGATGGCTCCGTCGCCTGAAATTATGGACGACTCCATGCTGGATATGTCCGACGGCCTTCGCCTGAGGTCCGTGACCGGATTCTTGTACTGWGCATTGGCGTTGTTGCTGTGGTTCATTTGGAAGTGAAAGGGCTGSGTGACTTCCGAGATGGTCGACAATTGATCGGAAAAGTTGACRTTGTTGGTGTTATCGAACTGCCCGGCCACGGGGATTCCTTCCGAGATGCCGTCCTTCTTGGAGGTCAGTTTGATTTTGCGGTTGTCTTCGTCGCGAAGACAGCGGGTGTTGATGCTCAGGAACGGAGTGCTTTTGGAGGGCGCGTAAAGAACATGRACACCGCATCGTTGGCAAAAGGCGTGCGCACCCTTGTTGCCACTGGAATGGTAAAAGACGTAATAGGTTTTGAGGTGCTCGTACCCCGCATAGATGCGAAAGTTCGAGGCCCTGACCTGCGTGTGCCGGAACTGAATCTTTCCCGGTCCGTCCTGAGCTTTCAGCTCGCGGGGTGCCAGAGCCGTAAACTGAATCGATTCGCAGTGGCAAGATCCTTGATAGGTAACGAGGGGTCCCTCGGACTGCTCAGCGATCGCATCTTCCTCGGCGGTGGGRGGCGGAGCGCGGGCAATGTACTCGGATTCGTCGAGCAACATCCGGCGRAGGGTTCTGCGRAAGATWCCGAGAATGGAATAGCTCGCCGTCCGCCGTTGCTGGGGCTTTGTTACCACGTCCTTGGGAACTTTCCCCTCCTTGGAAACCTCGGTCGTGCAGTCGCTGATTTCGTCTTCGATTCGGCCCTCTCCTTTCAGGGATCGGTAGGCGTAGAGGGCAAGCTTCGCGGCAACGAGGCCCGTTCCGGTAATCGTAGACCAGCCTACGGCTCGTTCCGCTTGCACCGGGGACATTCCGGTCGTTTGGCCCAGTATTGTCACCATCGAGGAATACGGGGACGACGAAGACGTGGAAGCAGTCGAAGAGGAGGGTTCTGCCTTGCTGCTGCTGCTGCTGCTGCTGCCATTGCTAGCGGCGGCCGTAGCCGAAATCAGAGAAGCAGAGGGCAGGGGATCTTGGAAATAGCTGTAACCAGATCTGGAAGACATGGCCGTTGTTCGTCTTCGTATTCYTTGATGCGGTGCGATGGGCGTGATGAACTCCAACAACGATCAATAGCGCTGTGAATTCTTGTGTCTAACTCTCCTCTATCCGCATGGAGTTTGGACGAGTAGAAAGCTCTTGGTTGTTTTGCCTCGGAGCCTGCCTGCCTGCCTGCCTGTCTTGAAATAGCGTACGATACTGCTCCTCCTCCCTAATAGGTTTGCGCTGATCCCCAATTCTGTGAGTATTTACGGTGCACTGCTCCGTTGGGYGCTACGAGTATCGCTCCTTTGTTAGCGCTAGCGCTACCAGGACGTACTGTGTGATTGTACGGTACCGTCGTTGTAGAACAAGAAACGTAATGGTGCGACTGATCGTACGCTCATGTACCATGTAGTACGTAACTGTACACACGGATCTGTACGGGCAACGCAGGCAACCGCATGTACTCGCTATCGCAATCTCATTCAAATTCAACGCACTTCCACCAATTCCTTAAAACTCGTGAAGTACCGTAACCCAACGTATCGTACGTAATCCCAGTACGATTACAKTTCAACGATGGAAGACCGTTTGTTTCATTTATTCGGGAGAACAAYAATTTTTGGTTCTTCGTTATTGTACTGGTAAGTACGGGTACCCGTACTCGTACCATACCAAAATCATCGCTAGGGCGGTGCGGCCAACGCTCGAGCAGGCCGAGCGAAGGAAYAATCCATAATCCGGTTGTCGTATCGTTGCCATTTAAAGGGCATATGTTTTGATGCGGAATTGAAAAATAAGCAGCAATCCGGCCGGTTTAGACGTGAGGATGTATCGTTCTTGTCGTTCTTGGATGAATTGAAAAAGGAGGGGAAAATACTCTTGCCCCCCCTCCCCCTAATGACATACTAATAGACATTCTAGACCCATTTTTTTGCTTTCTGTCAATCTACAATTCACCCTTGACAGAAGATATAAATGAAGTCTGGAATCCAAGAATTGAAATCTTTGTACTCCTCAAAAAGCATGGGTGCCCTTTTTCAGTCTTAATCATTTCAGTTGAGATTCCAAACTACTATCTTAAGAGGAACAGCAATTGTCTGTTGGGACCCTGTTCTTAATTATGTCCATTAAATTAAAAAATACAAATGCATTTTGATCATCTAGATGAACTGGAATTGACCATTATTTTTTCTGTATTTCTCAAAGAGGATATGCCAATGAGGAGATCTTCCTGCACAAAAATTGAAGTGATATGTTCTTGTTGTTGCTTGAGAACAAGAAGAATGGGCGGGAGATACTCTGCAGGAAAGGGAAGTAAGCACATTGRCATCTAATATTTCTTTGTCACAGACTGCTGAATCTAAAAAAACATGATCAAGCCTTTACAAGAAGGAGCCATACTCTACAAGTTTTGGGATGCTCTACTASYWGSTRSTATTGATACTGCCAATTTTGATGAATACACATGAAAGTAATCAACAAGTCTTATTTGAYGGACAAAATTTGAGCAACAAATTACAAAAGTTTGTTGCRAACAAAAATTCTGGTCACAAGTTTGCATATGCACAATCATGATTGAATCAAATTATTAAAAAGTCCATTTTCAGATGTCTAAAACAGGAATATCACAGATTTTCCCCAGGACTGCTCTCAGAAGKAGAAATGATCAAGTAATAATTGTAATTACACCAATCATTCAACCATTCCACCAMTTGGTGCCTATTCATCACTTAGTGAAGCAGTGGAAGAAGCGTAGTTGTAGAATCAACACTCACTGCTTGGYACACTAGAAGAAAATAGAAATGCCCTCAAGGCAATCATCACAGGAATGAATAGTAGTTTGGAATTGATCAGGTCCTTAATAATGATACCATAGTCTGTGGGGGCAAAGCCCAATTYCCTTCAAGGATCAATGCTGSTGAAACAAARCCAWTCATTCATGTTGCCTACTAGCTACCAGTGCGTGGATCAGCCAAATGAAAAATTGAGCTTTATGTTCCAAAAGATCAGATTCTATTATTCCAAGTTTTTGTACAGACTCAGGGTCCCCAAACAACAGGTTATTATGGGCCAACGAGGTTGCGATTGAATGCTGTTCAAGTTCTGGATCAGTCCGTGGGATGTTGGCACCAGAAAGTCTTCTGCTCACTATCTGACCACTTCCTCCATGTTGAAAGAAGATYTTTGCAGCACAAAAGATGTAAACGAGTACTCTGTTCTGGTAAATTTGCAACGTGTGCAGCCTTCTTTCTCCACAGACTATTCCCACTTAACTTAGACCTACCCCCTGTGCCAAAGTTACTATTAGTAGTTGTTGGAGCTTCGCGTGACTGTGTAGTGCTGGATGGTTGTCTCAAGGACAAGGACAGCATGCTCTGGCAAATGTTTTTTGAGAACTGCTTTCGAAAAAGCCCACCGAATCTTCCCGAGCTTCTACCCCCTTGTCGTCCGACTAYTATAATATATTATGAAAGTCATAAGCAGCGTCTATTGTGTTATCAAGTGCCCCGAATAATGCGCTGGATGCGTCGGCGGCGATGCAATCGGTTTGTCACCGGCTCGGGTAGCTGGACCGAGTCGTCGTCATCGTCGTTGTCGTTGTCGTAGACGTAGTCGTCGTCGTCGGTGGTGGTTCCGGGAATGCCATCGTCGCCGTTTTCTTTGTTTTCTTCTYCKCTGGAAGCACCGCTGTGGTAGTCCGATTSGACGCTCCGGCACCAGATGTCGYTTTGCGTCTCGGGTACCTCGTCGGCTTTCTCGTCGGAAGCCGTCTTCCTCCAGGCATCCGGCAGCAGGTCGTCTGGGATTCCGATGGGCTGCCGAAAGGCACCCAACATGTGCAGGTCCGTGGCTGTGCGTGCCGGATGCGAGAAAGGGCCCAAGCAAAGAACGATGCGGGGAGGCGAGAACGCTGGTGAGTCGGGTGTGCCCRGGAATGGAGTTCCGATCCARCCTCGCCGGAACGAGAAACAAAAAACGCAATAAACTTACTGTATGGATTGTCGAAGAACTTCATGGCTTCTCTGGGGACATTGGAGATTGTTATGGGTTCGGCACGATCACGATCACGATCATCTATGATGTAATGTACGACGTAGGAGAGATTGTCGTCGCTGCGCTCCAAAACCTCGCAAAGGTACCCCGTGTTGTCCCCRWACCAGTYGCTCCAGTYTTCAAAGTCTYCCAGAGATCCATCGAAGGTTGTTGAGTAATCGTTCARCACGTGGTGGCACCTCAGCGAAAGATTATTGGGATAGGGGTACTCTTCTTTAGCCTCGAGTTCTTTCGGCACCAGGAGATAGTCGTGTTCGTGGATCTCGTTGAACTGCGCCGCCGAMACATAGTTATCCAGGTGGGAGCGATCCTCGAAGGTCTGCCACTCGTCGCGGAGGGCGTTCCATTTTTCTTCCCAGGCGTCTCCGTAGTCCAGGAAGATTTCCTCGCCCTCGGCAATGTCCCGGGTGGCGACGTAGTCAAAGGCRACCTTCGTACTGTAGTCKGTGACGTTGGCGAGCGRGACGTCCAGAAACTTGTCAAAGTGGCCCGCGACCCCGTCCTGCCCCCATCGAACCTCGACGTTGGCTCTAGTTTTGTCGTGGTTGATGTAATTRACACCAATTCCGTAGGGACACAAAACACCATTGGTATCCGGATGACCGAAACAATAGTTCAACAGCAGCTGCTGYCCGTAAGGAGGCTTGGACAGATCTCTGCCCATAGWGCCATCGGAGCAATACTTGAAATCRTACATGTCAAACCATTTTTTGTCGGGRAAAAGAAGCAAGGGTGTTCCCGTGACGACGGTACCTTTMGGCAGATCGCGCTTTGCAAATGCTCCGGCACTAYCGGGGAAGGCGAAACCAAGASGACGCACGAGAAACAAGAAYCAGAGTTTCGTGGARAATTCAAAAATGAGTATTGCGGGCTATCGACGCAGTGTTGCATTGTTTTTTCAAATTTCATGGATCTCCTYCGCAATTCGAACCGATGCAGCAACGCAACAATCACTTACCCCGCTCCGTCGACGGTGCTCCGCTTGTGTACGATGTGGTCTAGACACTTGCCATTTTCGTTGAGCCAATCGATCGAACGGGTTGCGTTCCCCTGCAGATGAATACCAATGTCACCGGCGGCCGCAGCTTCCTTGACCTCTTCCCACGAGAAATCGTAAAAGGCGTTCAGCGTCCGGGAATTCCAGATCTCCTTGAACGGCTTCACVAGCATTTCGTACACTTCGGACACCGGGATACCGACCGTCGCGGACTTGTCTTCGTTTGMTAGCATCTGCATCAGGCGAATTGCCTCCTCGTAGTTCTGTATGACCGGGATTGGGCCCAGCTGCTCGCGGCCGAGGAACCAMTKGTCCCCATAGGATTTGAACAGCTCCCCCCCGACGGGGATGTCYCGGCAAACATAGCTCCCGGTCTCCCCCGCATCATAGGGCGATACGCCTCCGGCTCCGTGGTGCCTAGATCTATGGATGCCACCCTCGTCGTAYACCGGCGACGCCTTTTCGACGTTCAGCAATCCCGAGTGGCAGTTCACCATGGCGTCGATTCCGGGCCAAAATGCGCTGACGTCATTTTCATCGAACAACTCAAGGCGCATCCCCATCGACGTGCCGTCCCAGACGTAGTCTGCCGTCGGGTTGAAAAAGYTTGASCCAAGATATCCGTTGTGCCAGTAGGTATCAACCAGAGGAATCGCTTTGTCTCCGTTGCCGATGTAGTCACCCTGGGACTTGGAAACGCCCGAGAAAATACCGATCCCGGCACCCGGAATAGTGCTGTCGGCGAGGTAGAGCTCGCACTCTAGCAGSGGTACCGAGTTATCCGCAAGTGCAAATGCTGTCGGCATGAGCTGGTTGCCGTGTAGCGAGACCAGGAGTGGGAAAAGGGCTCCTATCGTCCCAGGTAGAGTATTTGGGCGGAGCATTGCAGTGGATACTGGCTTGGCGATCGGGTGTCGTCTTTGGATTGCTGCCCTGTTTTCAAAGTTATCAAACCAATCAAAGCCTTATTTKTTCTTCATGGTCGAATTCGAGGCATGTTGTGTGGTATGAGAGTGGCTCGCCTACAACAATTCAAGAAAAGGCGACACCACAACTTGTTCGATTCTACCGGTATCGCACCGTATGGTAGTTGTACTGAAGCAAAATTGGAAATCATGGTTGCTCCAGTACGATGTCGTAAGTGACCCCTGATCGTAAGTTGGGTGCGTACGCTACGGTGACCCGAATGGTACTGGTACTATTCTTMCTATTGTYACTGAAATCATACAGTATTGTATCGTCCAAAAGCATCACCTGTAAAATAGATCCGTTGAAAATACAATATTTGACTGAATCGACTTAAACGATTGCGCGATTATTTTATTCGAACAATTTGTGAGAGGTGCAAAGTGGTACGTACTTGTAATACGTACGGTACTGACTCTTTCGATAGCCAGGCGTCATGAAGACGATAGATATTTCGTACTACCGGTACGTACTTGTGATTAATATACGGACGCAGTGCACCAAATGGCATKAGTTAAGTCTCACCAAGCCAATTATCGTCGTCCCTTTAAATACAGTGGTTGTTAGCTCAAACAATAAGTAATAAATAATCCGTACTATGCATTCGAAATCTAATATTTAGGACACCATAAAGTACGGGTACCACTTTATCACTATTTCTTTATGCCTTCCCATTTTTCCTTCATTCGAAGATTCTCTAAACATTGATAGAAAAAATTATGATTCGAGTAGTCATTAGCTCATAAAATTGTCTTGACATATTAATTTTTTATGTCAAAAAAGAATGCAGAAATAGTATTGATTGAGTAACGAACCATTAAGACGACCACGTGTAGCTCGAATTGTGATTGTGCTCTTCTCTGGCAACCATTGTACCGTATTGCTAGTTCGAAGAATTACGTTCAATATTACTAGTAGAATTCAATACCAGGACAAAAAAGCAGTAGTATTAAATAATGGAAGGGAAATCGAARGAGGAAGTTGTTGCAGAGCATTAAAGTCGACAGGAAACCAGAAAGTATTAAATCACATTGTTTCACCAAACAAATCCTTAAATCTAGAATTATTTCGAGAAATCGCTCCAAGTTTCAATGAATCGCATACAATATATGAATTAAATTAGTACCAACCGTCCAGTAGTGTTATGAATTATAAGCTATTGATTGTGTTCAATTCCCGATGTGCAGATATTATGACAAGATAAGAAAAATGGTGACGGGCGACTGACGGCCTTCTTCAGTAAAACAATCGGCTTCGTTTCGCATGGGCTTCCCTTTCCGCCTGTTCCCTCTCCCTTGCTTTTCCCTCTTTTGTATAACGCTCTGATGCCTCCATGGCGATCTCCCGCGCGTTCTGGACMAGGTAAAAGACCTTCGTGGCGGGTGCGTTCCGTTCTTCCCACCACTCGCGCCTCGAGGCCCTCTCTATCGCGTTGGCCCACAGCGCAAGCGGGAGACCGGCTGGAGCGCCTATGGTCCCGGATTCCAGGAGCCTCCGCCCGGCSGCGTTCTTCATGAGGGCGTACCTGATATCGGAGTCCCACCTCGGGTGCCCGTTCCCGAGGCGAGATAACCTCCCAAAGAGTTTGAGAAAGCGCAGCACGGCCTCCTTTTCCTCCGCGACCGTTTTGATTCGCTCGAGGATATGGCTCACGTCGATGGAAAGGTCCCGGAGGGATCCCGATACGGGAGACTTCGCCTCGCCTTGCTCGATCCGCTCGAGGATGGGCCGGAAGCTCTCGATCTTCAGATGTTCAACATTGAGGGTCGCCACATTGGGAAATCTCGGCAGAAAGTCAAAGAGCAGCGTTTCGAGCTTATCTCCGTTGAATTGYGATTCGAGAAAAGAAATGCTGGTGAGCTGTCCTCGGAAGGCGATTTCTGCGCCGAGGAGTGCATCCAACAAGAGGGGGAGGTGCTCCTCCTTCGTCTGGACGAACTCAATTTCGGTCAGCATCGGCACCATATCTTTGTTTGTGATCCACTCGAGGAACTGCGCAGGAGGTTCCGTTAGGTTAAAATCTACCACGAGCTCGGTAAGGTGTTTGAGCTTCATGCTAGAAGGAAAGTTGGAGAGGAGCTCCGGGCACATRTAGTTGTCAAGGTGCAGCTTCTGGAGGCACGGAAGGCTCGAGAGTCCTCTCGAAGGAAGAGACCTGCAGTTCCAGAGGCCCAAAAAGGTGAGCTTAGTCAGGCGGGAGATKTCCTCYGAGAGATGGAAGGGATCATTGCGGTGGATATGTCCAACCACGTCGTCGATGCTGGCAAAGACGTCGTTGTAGATGCCACCCCAGCCGAAGGGGTTGATGAACAGCTTGACAACGCGGCCATCTTCGTCCTCCTCGAGGTGCCAYCGGCCCGAGAACTTTGCTCCGATGTTGCCTGAAAAGTCGTAGCTCATGTTGGGGTCCACTAGCTCTGCCWTTGAGAGGGTAGATCCCAGCGCTATCCAGTCTTCGGGGTTCAGGTGTACCGGGCGGAACCGGTGGTCGGCCCACCGTGTTCCTTCCACACCGTTCTTCGGGGATCGGGGGGAGACTACTCGTACTTGGGGTTCAGTGGGAGATAAGGACACAGAGTCCGGTGGCAACAGCTGTAGCTGCTCTACCATAGTACTCGTACTGTCTGTCGAGGATTGCATAGAAATTGTGTTTGAAGTTGCTGAAAGGCCCGATGGGGTGCGGTGGGATCGATAGGGCCGTTGAACACTTGTATCTCTCGTTTGCTTGTTGTCTCTTACTTTTTTAAGCCTGAGATTGGGACATTAATGCGTGACGRTTGAATGGCATTCAAAGCTACAGGGCACGGATTTGTATGTGAAAAAAGTGCGTTTTGAGTAAAACGCGAGCAATCATGAGAGAAAGTATCGCAAAATGTACAGTGGTGCAACTATGACATGCATCTCTTCTCTCGGTCACGTAGACAGTTCTTCGGAAATGCGAAGACATTTTTTATCTTTGATAAACCACTTGGTAGATTTTAAGTAGTACACTGGTAGTACAGAAAAGGTGTAGAAAATGATATTTTTTTCGAGTTCTGACCAAAACGTTWCCCTTTGTTATTGCAACCGCGATTGTGGTGCCGATAATGGATCCTGYCATGATGCCAAGCGCGGTCTACTCCTCTCTGAACATTCTTTCAGCTTCTTCGACACTCTWGCCTGAATCGCAAATTTTTCTGAGCAGCTTGCTGGTGGGATACAAGAATAATTTTTGAGAATCTTAAGTAGAAAGTAACTTCTCTTCCGAGATTAGTACTTAATCGTTTATTGCGATCGCCTTTGAAATATAAGCTGTTTTACGAAAGATGAGATTCCGATCMCAAAAAACTAATGATAAAGAATTGAGAAAAATGATAAAATTATTACAATAGTATCAATGTATAAGCTTGCTACTTTTCTGTAGCGAAGGTGCTCGGTAATTTTGGGGAATTTTCTTTGTTCGACGAGAAGTTTGACTTAACAAAATTCTGCAAGCACGAAGAAAAAGGTGCTTCGTCAAWTGTAGAGGTACAGATGGAAACAGGGGTTAATGATTTTTTGTAGGAGGTGTTTGCCTCGTGGCAGATTACTTTATGCTAAAAAGGGTTTGGTACYCTCGTAGTGGTAAGAGTAGGGTTGTCTGATTCTTTTTAATCGCCCGGCTGTGGTAGTTGAATCATCAACAGGAAAAGAGAACAAGAGGAAGACCGAGGAGGAGGAGGAGGACGAGTAAGAGGAGGACGAGCAACGGCGGAACAACAAGAAGATGACGAGGAGGACGATGACAACGAAAAAGAAGGAGGAGGAGAAAAAAATCAAAAAGATGAGAGGAATAAGAACAAGAAGGAGAAGGAGAAAAAGGCAATAACAACAGCAAGAAACTCATGCTGGTGCCGCTACTGGTTGTGGTCTGATTTYACCGCTAGCTACTACGACGTACTGCATCATGAAGTACTAGTAGGCTAATAATATTATTAGCTAGTCGTGTATTGCGAAGTAGAACTGCTGGTGCCGGTAATACTAAGAGGAAGACAAGAACTACTAGTTCAAGAAGAAGCAATGGTTGTGAGCCTAAATCATGAGTAGATAGTGAATAAGCTCACTCTTTATTGTAAACACGTAATTATACGACACTAAAGAGCATACATACATTTCGCAAGTTATGGTTTCTGTGGATACTGTAATACTGTAGACAGTATGCTAATGGCAGCAGTAGGTCGTCAATCACTTGTAGAAGGCTAGTTTGAAGTTCCTCCGCGGCAGTACTCTGTACTGTAGGATTGTTGACGAACTATTTTTTGAGTACTAATAGTAGAACAATTACTACTACTAGTAGTTCTTACTCGATGACATCCCGGTGGTTCCGTAGCTGCGCTTTTGCGATCGAGACCCGCACTCAGCATCACGCGATATTTACTGCTTRGTACTTGTACTGCCTGTCTTACAGTGTATTCTCGTCTTAAAACGTATCGCAAAGAATCTACTGGACTCTTCAGGGGTTCGACCGTTGGATCACATCCATCACGGAGCCTCAGACCCACATTTTCGAGATTTCTTTCTCGMATACCATTTTCACGGTAGGATACTAGTAGGATTTGGTCTCGAAACCACAACAAGATCCTGATCGACGGAGGAACCTACTAATGAATGCAGGTGCCACCCAGGCAATTCTACACACGAACCATGTTGATTCGTTCCATGAATAGCCGTAATTTGAATGCAATCTTTAGGTACCACCATGGCCAATGGTCCTTTCGATGTTGATCTTCTTGTACAGTGCCGTACTACTGTGCACAACATCTACGTATTATTATGTATGTAAAGCAACCATTAAAAAAAATAACGAATATTCCGTACTACAGTATCGTACCTATCTTCTGATCATCGAGGGAAACTACGGTACGGGGGCACAACGACTGGCACCCATTTCCCCACAACCAACAATGGAAGAATGCCACCACGTCGGTTTTGTTACACCCTGGACGTGGTAACAGATGGTTCCGAGCACACCGGTTGCGGGACCCTCTTTCTGTCGGTTTGGAAGATCCCTCTTTCGGTATCGGCTGCGTCCGCCGGTGGTGGCGAACCCAAACACAGCAGCGAAAGCGACGACGCCAGCGATTCGGCTTGTAGCAGCGATTCGAACGATTCGAGTGGCAGCAGTGGCAGYGAGGGGGGCAACGAGGAAGAGGACGAAGTGGACCAATTCGACGMAGCAGCAGAAGAATCCAAAGGCTCGGAATGCAGCAACGACCCGGTCCACTCCTGGCTCACCGGAGATGACATCGGGGAATCCACAGACGAAACCGGAACCAAGCTCCCGAGCCACCACGACCCCGGCGACGCCCTCGTCGCCCGGTACGCTCTTTCCGGGGCCGGGGATGCCCTTGCACGACTGTGTGCCGACCAGCGGTTCAAGCTAGCCCGGACGAGGGCGTGTTTCCTGCCCTCTCTCGGAAGGGGTGCCTCGGACGGCCTGAGTGCCCTCTTTCTGGCCCTGCACGGAGCCGGAGCGCCRTCGCTCCACGTGGTGGTTCCCTCGTCGTTCGAGCGGGGCTTCTGCCGSAAGCCCCGGAACGGCGGCCGGCCGCAGGGGGGGGACACCAGTGGCGGCKCCTTTGTCGAAGAACTCGCCACCATTGCCCTCGGTGCGCACAAGGCATTCGACATCCGGACCTGCGAGGTTCGGWCACCCAGCCAAGCCGCAACCGCAACAACGGCGACGACGACAAGGCCCGATTCCTTTGTTTGGTGGAAGGTGTACGAAGACGAACACCTGTTGGTTCACGCGAGCTCTTGCATCGGGCCGGAAACCTCGTCGGCGGAAGGATCGGACCCCTCGCGGTGGAACAAACGAGAGACCTCGGCTTCATCCTSTCTGGTCTTTCTGTATTCGTTCCACTCGCCACCTAAGGGTGAATCCGGCCTTGGAAAAGCGGGAGCAAGTGCCAATACTGCTGCAACGAATTCCTACTGTACCCTGGCATTGTTCCCCCCGTGCTGYGGGGACGCGGAGAATGCTTGCGAACGATTGGTGCAAAGAAGCACGAACCTTCCGGTCCTAGGAGAAGGCATTCCCATGAGCTCTATCGACTATGTAATATTTCTAGATCCAAAGGGGYACACCGKTGGAATGACCGAAACGGACAARCCAAGATTCTTCCGGTGGACAACCCCCAGCATCGGAAASAGCMGGGTGTTGGTAACGCTGCCACAGGCAAACGGGCRCCAYCCGGAGGGTCCGCTCTCGAACCATCGCGCAAGAGCGGTAGCCGACGAGGGCATTTTGGTTCGCTCCCAGCAGCTCCACCGAAGGCTCTACGGTCGTATGCCGCGGGCCTTTGTCGAACCGCCAGGGGCKGCACGGGAAGWYTCCGATACGGGCAACAAGGCCGGTCACGCAGRTAGTGGTCCAAGGACCGGTCACAACGGGCTCGTGCTGCAATCGGGGACGTCGCTCGTGCTGGAAAAGGCTTCGAGAGGCGCCCGCCATTGGAAGSAATGGAATCGAAAGAAAAGCATCTGGAACAAAGAGCCGAGGGACGARTGGACCAGGGGAACACTGGATACGCTGCGGTCCTTCCTTCGTCCCGAGCTAAACGAGGCCTGTATCACGCCAGGTGAAGACGATGACAAAAATGAGAAAAGAGTGAATGCCGAACAATCGATAACCGACCAAAACGAGATCGAGCTCGATGAAGCCGAAGAAGAGGAAATTGAAATKGAAAAGACAGATTCGATGATCGACCAGAACGAAATCGAGCTAGAAGACGAAGGCGAAGAAAGCAGCGGCAACGACAAAGGCAACGAACGAAACAAACCACCATTGATAACCGGCCAGAACRAAAACGAGYTAGAGGATGAAAACGAAATAGATCTCGACGACGAGAACGATGTCCCAGAAAATGATCCAAAGGATGGCAACGACATCCATCTCGAAGGGRATGGTGGAGGTAGCTCTATCCGGTGGAATGGCAACAATACTCTGCATCGGGGCAGACCCTTCGAAGCCATCGATCGCAACGTCGCCTCGAGGGGTYGCGGCCCCCGCTTGTTGGTTCTCGGAACGGGGTGTGCGACTCCTTCTGCCTACCGCGGCGCATCGGGTTATGCCTTGGTTCTGCCTTCTCCGGGTACCGATCCCGAGAGGGGCCGGGGCATCCCGCGGCAGCAWTACTGCTACMGGCAGCATACAAACCACAGCTCCAATGGATTTGATCMACCTCAACGCATCGAAAACGAAGCAGGYGACCAAATCTATCTCTTGGATTGCGGCGAGGGGKCTTCGACCATGCTCTCTAGGAATTGCGGCCACATTACCGATTGGTCAACCAGGGTGCGTGGGATTTGGATCTCTCATTCCCATCTGGATCACTACGGAGGATTGCCCACCTTGCTGAGGATTCTTTCGGACGAGCGAAAGCTGCAAGAAGCAACATTCCGCGGAATGCCGGAAAGGACAGAGCATCCAGACACGCAAAATCGGAAACGACCGAGACAGTCGCCAAGCGCGACCGGCGCCGATAGCTTGCCAGCAGTCCCGTGGGTTGTTGCCCCCGCAAAAGTCCTCCGATACCTCGACCTGATCCTGGACTGCCACCACGGCCGCAGCAGGGATGGAACMCAMAGGKTCTGCTTCGAACCAAGGCCCCACCACGACCCGAGGATYCCGAGCGGTCCTTTTTTTCACTTTGAAAACGTCAAGGTGTACCACAATTGTTGCCCCGCGTTTGGTCTCTTGCTCGGATGGAAAACCGACTCGGAATCCGATCCCACCCAAAGCGGGAAGGCATCTGGCACGAGACGTGCACGCACGAAAACCCAGTTCMTGTGCTATTCCGGCGATACCCGTCCYTCTCACAATCTGGTTCGAGCCTGCCGGCGGGCTCTACAGAGATGCGGCCAAACGTCGTTCCGCCCCGATCGAGCTCCCGGCCCATACCAGAACCCGATCAAGAAAAGCGGGCCCGTCGACCTCTTTTTGATTCACGAGGCAACCTATCGAGAAGCCGAATCGGCCATGGCATACCAGAAGAAGCATTCCACGCTTTCCGAGGCMCGGATGGTCGCCACTGAYACGGGCTGCTCCCGCGTCTTGATGTCTCATTTCTCGCAGAGGTACGACAACACGACGAAAGAAAGGAAAGACGCCTCCGAACGCCCGGAAAGCAACAACGGYAGCAAGAATAACAGTCTTGTCAYGGAAAGCACTCCCACAACCAGCGAAACGAATCCTATGAATGCACCTACCGATGACAGCAGCAAGCCTATTGTGGGACTCGCCGCAGACGGTTTGTGGATTGCRTTGGATCACTAGCTGATGCGCAAAGTAAATAGTAAGGATCCCAAGTCTCCCAAAAGCACTGCATTGTCTCTCTAAAAAGCTATAATCGAATAAAAAGAAACACGCGAATAGAATATTGCTGTATAAATGCTATCACTATACACACASCCTTTCTGGCGATCCAGGATTGGTCGTTTTCCATCGGCTCAATCCCGGAACCGACGGAGGCGCGACCGTGCCACGGACACCCTGCGGCTCGTGGCATCCATTCCCCCGTTGCCCGCGTCGCCCTCCAGAAGCCCGCTGCCATCCTTGTCGTATTCCGAGGAATGTGCCGACGACGACGACGACGATGCCGGGCCCTTGGTTGGCTCGCTCGTTCCGCCGCCTCCCGCCGCGGCCTGGGGCCTGCGGGTCAGAAACCCGTAGTCCGAAAAGGCCCGCTGCAAAAAAGGCCCCACCTTGTTGAGCTCGTAGCTGCAAATCCCCGTGACGGAAATGATGGGCAGTTCCGGCGCCGGCRATCCCTTGCCGAGCGAGTCCTGCGTGTAATTCCCGTTCTCGTCGACCCGGTCGTACCCGGCCGGGGGATGGACCAGATCGCTCCGGGAGAGCTCGTGGAAGTGCATCCGGAGCTTGTCGGACCGAACCGCAACCAGGTCCTGCAGGACGACCTTTGTGGCCTTGCCGGAGGGGTTCTTGCTGTCGGTGAGGCAGCAATCGAGGGCCCGGGCGATCTCGTAGTAGTGAAAGGGCAGGCGYGTGCTGAGGAGGACCGATTCCCGCTCCTCCTTGAGGATGCTCGTCAGAAAGGGGGCCGAGAGCCACTCCGGGAGCTCGATCTGGCAAAAGTTGCGTCGGTAGAGTGCCTTGGCAACCCACAGCGGAACATCGGAGGGCATTCCGGCCGTGAAGGGGCCAACGTTGACGGATTGTGTGCAGCTCAACAGCGGGAAGGATCCAGAGTATCCAAAGGAGGGGACGATCGTCACCAGCGTGTTTTCAGCACTGAAGGAGGACTGGTGGCAGAGATTCAACCGGCTGCTAGAGGATGCCATGGTTGGATGTAATATTGTCTAGGTAGTTTTGCTTTGTGAATAGATGCAACGGAAAATAGGACTCAGAGTATTTACTACTGTCGTGTAACATCAACACTGTGAATCCTAAAGGGAGGAACGACAATCCTTGGTAGGTTTGCTGTTGACGTTGTTGAGCATCAGGATGTGTTTTTGTTGTTGGGTCCTCACTTTTGGTGCCTTCCTTTTCGCGCTCAAACAGCAATGACAGTACYGCGCGATAATGCGCGAAGCAGATTGTTTTGAAAAGCTATGTTTTGGCGCGAACATCCAAAGACTGCGCCCAGTCGTGAATAGTCTTTCAGTCATTCCCTGTACTTATGGTACCGTACGTATAGTACGGTAGCGTATGGTAGTTTGAGACAGGGGTCATAACCCCTGGTTTGAGACACCTGATTTGAGACCCCGAATTTGAAATTGGGGGGTGTCAGTGGTTTGTTGGTTAATGAACAAAACGGTCACAAAGTCACGGCGCCCTCGCGGTTTCTCAAGTCGTGCGGATCCTCCACTMGCTACAGGCGCTTCCCAACGGTTTCCATCTTAGTCGTGCTTCCGATGCTGCGACAAATTATGCGCATGATTTGATGGCGTTGGGCAACCAATCGCCAAAGAAAATCGAGTTGGACTCATTCGGGACACCATCAACATCTTGTCACTCCTAGGACGATACCGTACATACCACAGTGCGCACGGTAGAATGCAACATCCATTGATCGATCAAAGTGCAAAGAAGATACCACTAAAACCTCAATCGCAAACGCGATTATCTACTGCGGGGTTGTCGAAGATCAAATCGGATGGATGCTGCTGTCATAAATCTCCGAAATCCCCCGCAGAACGAGGACACAGCAGCATTGACACTCTCAAAAGCTTTGCTACCAATCGAAGAGAATAGATTCCTCGAAGCTTCTATCATGGGCGCTGCTACCATTCGCGATCCCATAGCCAGCTGCCAGGCTCTAGCACTCGTGACGCTCCTCGAAACCTTTCGACCCAGAATGGCACTCAAGCCCTATCTGGTGCAGCTCAAGACGGTTGTCGCTGACCTGGAAGCAGAGGAMCAACAACTGCAGCTGCAACAGCTAAAAGACATACACAGAGTGTTTGTGGCGTCCCAGGCTTCGCTGGAGGAGACCCCTTGCGAGGGCTGCGCCGAAGMGTCGGTGCCCGGCCCGGTCGGCAAGCCATCCTTCGGAAGCAACACCTCCGGGGCTCCCAGGGCGCACACCAGCATAAAATCGCCCCTGTCGATGAATTCGCCRATTTCGGTGTCGACCAAAACGGAGCTGAGGCGCAACCATGGCTTGCCRGAAGACAGGGATGCGAGCGGAGGCGAAAACGCAACCGTGGCTGCTGCAGCTGCTGCCCCCGCAGCCAGCCCCAAGTCCCTCCCACCACTCTRCTCGCCGGCCCGGCACCCGAGAAACGAAGYCGCATCGCCCATCAAACCGTGTGCAACTTCGAGAGAGATGGTTCGGTCCCCGTTCCGTTCGTCGTCGTCGTTTCCATCGCCCCAGCAACCAAGCGATCCGTATCAGCCRCAAGAACAGAGGCAGCAGCCCAGCCCACTCGCAAGTCCAAAATTACAGCYGTCGTCCTCTTTCGGAGATCGATACCACGACAAGAAYCGGTTCTTGGACGATGCCACAATTGTCTTTCCTCTCCAAAACTCAATCAAAAMATTTGACGCTGGGTTTGAACCAGCTACAGATCCAGCAAAGGAAGCTTTTGACACACCAGAGATTGTGTCCCGAATCCTAGAGTTCGATGGATCCTTGGCGGCCTTCTACAAGAACTACGACCTCCTGGAGGGATACAAKAGCCCAATGCCGAGGAGAAGGAGCCAGAGCAGATTCCAGCGTAGAACCACCGGAAACCGTCAGCTGGCYTTTGTCAACAAACACTTTGCTTCCCTCGTCATCGGTGCCGAGGGACTCGAGGCTTGGAAACGAGAGGCGCGRTGTGAGATCGAAGATCGGAARCGGMTTTCCCGCCAAATCGTGAGTGGTGCAAATCCTTCTCCCCTGGCCAAGGTCTTCGCAATTGTCATTCGGAACGATGCCATTGAATTCGAATAYCTGTTGAGGAAGCACGTTGTTGCGATAGAGCAGGGAAACTCCTTGCACGGGGACCACTCMAACGATATTTTCGGCATGGCTCTCACGGAATACGTCAATGGCGGCGGCGATCSATTCGGCGACAGCGATTCCAAGCGCGCGTTCGGAGCGCAATCGAACGAATCCCGACGAAGCATGGGCCTCCCCCGGGGGCATGCCTTTCTGCGGTTTTGTTCGTGCTGGGAGGCCAAGGAATGCGACTACACGACGCTCCTAGCAGAGCTGGCCTACAACGCGGTGGTTTGYGGTGCCCTGGACGTGCTGGGCGTGATTTCGAAACGKCACAACACCCTGTACTCCACGGCCTTTGGGCCTTCCGGCTCCCAGTCTCTCCTTGGACTCCTGGTGGCCCAAACCTGCGCCCAGCCGTGTTGCCTGGWGGAAGTTGCCCAGGGAATTCGAACCCTTATGTCCCACCAACGGTTGCACAGAGAAGATCTCAWCGCCTGCCAGCTGGGAAGCCRTGGGACCTCGCTCCATGTTGCTGCCGCGAAAGGAGACCGCGAGCTAGTGGAAGCACTTTTGGATGTCGGCTACCATCCCGGTGTYCGGTGCGACCAATGGGACTCCGTGGGTCGCGGAACCAACGGCARCAGCAACGKCAGYGGCAGCCACSAGGCAAAGGACGGTAGCACCGACCGGTTGTGGTATCCGGAAGACTGGGCACGGGTGCGCGGCCACACAGATGTGGCGCGGYTGCTAGAACGACGGAGGAGACAGCTCGAGCCCCGGCAAGACCTGCAGTCTCTATCGGAGCTCGATTCGGTCCTCAGCGAAACCTCCACCCGCTTTACGGTGGCCAGCAGCTACCAACCGTACGACGATAGCGACAGCAGCTGCAGCAGCACCGAGTACGACAGCGATTCTTCCGATGTCTTCGACAGCGAAATCGATCASGACGGCGATTATTCCGCGTATACCTCGGAGTCGTCGCGTTTCTATAGCCCCGGCAATTATCCCTACACCATTGATGATCTGTATCGATCACCAAGACGAAAGTTAAGGCTGATACAAACAACGGCAATTTCTAGGTAGATGTCATGGCTGGAGTTGGGATGATTCAAACAGTTTGGCATAAGATATAGAATAATGATTATTCATATAGTAAGTAGTTTGAAGTCCACGGCTAGGCCGTGTTCGTTCTAAAGRGTGTGTGTGGTTTCCATAGTATGTTCCCCTACCGCATTTCCCACTGAATTATCAGTCAGCAGAACTCTTCGACTGTCTGCCAAAAAACCGGTTGAACGGGGTCTCAAAAGCAACASAAAGTGTAACAGGAGGAACACACATTGGGCTTGCCACTTGTCTTCSTCGTAGATACAAAAGCACCGTGGGTTCAGAAATACAATTGCGAGGGTGTCGYGTTGTCGTTCTGCGAGGTTGTTTTGGCTCCATTCCTTGTTCAAAACGACMTCTTCAAAGTGCTTATTTAGGGTGACAACGCGGTGCATACCGAGCGTTGCGAGCAACTTCGTGATTACAGTAAAAAATGAAGTCCTMACTGTCCGACTTCAAAATTGGTTTTCTGCCAGATGCAATTCGAGCCCTATCTCCTGTGTACTTTTTCCCGTCTGATCTGCAGCGACACACATTTTCAATWACAGAGCRAACTGTATTTCTGAAGGCCYTTCGTTGGTTTTGGTTGAAAGCTTTGGCAATGGTAGTAATTGTTTTTCTTTCCTTCCATTCCGATGGTGGTGGAGCTCCCAACACATATTCGAAGTGAACAGCAATCGCAATGCGAATATTCTTTTCCRATACTGCAGCAGCTTCCTCTGAAGTCGACATGTACTCATCAAGACTTATAATACTGTTAGCATCAMTGTTGCTGGCACAAGAGCAGTCTTCGCCACTACTACCTGMAGAGCATTCAGCGTAGTTGACCTTCTCTTGTACCCTGGTACTATTCGGTGCTTCCTGGCCCAAATCCTCCTGCAATACATCACTGTTTACTGGCAACACTGGTACTGGTTGTGCTGGTGGTGGGYTCTTCTTCTTGGCCCTCGATTGCGACATAGCCTCGAGCTTTGCTTTTGCTTTCTCAAGTATTGCATCCTCGGCTGCGGCTTTGCGCGCTCTAAAACGTTCAGTACGTTTAGGAGGCTGCCGATGCCGAATCCGTGAGTAACGACCGAAACTTGTTTTTTTTTTCGGCATTACGAGAAGCACAAGAATGCTTTGAGCAAAAAGAGAACCAATGTGCAACCAATGCAGTGCCAGATTRTACTACGAAGAGATCCTTGGCAGTGTTTGCTCCGCAACAAGCAAACACTAACAGTAYGAACAACAAGGCGTTGCACGATTGCTCAATTTGCTTGACACAGAATCAACAAACGGTCGCTTGGAAACTTGCTTGGATGGGTGATCGATGGGAAGATGTTGGATATAGATCTGGATGGATACGAAGGAGGGATCGATTGATGCGTGCTAYGATCGATAGGAGGTTGCTAGATAAAGATCTAGATGATGGATACGGAGGAGGGGATCGATTGATACGTACTACGATCGACAGGAGGTTGCTGGATTTAGATCTGGATCGATGCGGTGGACGTAGATCGCTACGGAGGAGGGGGTYGATTCGGTGGATCGATAGCACGGTGCAGGAGCTCGATACTTTAGATTGCTTTTTCAACTGGAATAATGAGAGGGTGAGCAGAAACAGAAAGATTTCGGCGCGCCTATTTTGTGACCAGGACCCGACGTGAAGAAAAAAGAAGTGTTCCTCTTTTCAAGCTACCGTACCGGTATTACCGTACAAAGTACGAGAGTTTTACTTACCATACGAAAGGAATGCAAGAACCATCGCACTCAGTACTGTGAGGCTAAATCCAAAGAACAGATATTCTATTAGAGTTGGAGTTAATGATGAAAGGCACAAAAAGGACCATCAATCAGCAATATGGTACTTCGTACGTTACGAATTCTGTTTTGTGCGGTTCGTACTCGTACTCGTACGGTCTTGGACGCAGGAACACTTGTTATTCCTTTCTACCATCCCTTGATTCCTCAATGCTTTTCTTGCTTGCTACCGTTACACCGAAGGTACTTAAACTCGTACCTTGCCGTAAAGTACACGAATTGCCAGACGTGTGTCATTCCAAAAGACAGCCGGCGGCAATCCAACCCCCAACACCGCTGTGGGCATCCAAACGCGCTTTGTACCCATCCACCGTTTTCCCAGAATGGCGTATTTGTTGCCGCACCTGCACAGCGGGTGGGAGGTCGACCAGGCCATCGTCACGGCGGAAGACCGGGTGGTCGTCATCCGATTCGGCCACGACAACGACGCGACGTGCATGGTGCAGGACGAGATACTGATGAGCATCGCCGACAAGGTCAAGAACTTTGCCGTGATCTACCTCGTCGACATCACGGAGGTCCCCGACTTCAACAACATGTACGAGCTCTTCGATGAGTAAGTGTGTGTGTGTGTGTGTGTGTGTGTGTGTGGTTGTGTGGCTGTGTGTGCAACAGTGTGCATTTGTCTTTGTGCTTGTGGTTGGCGTGTCAAAGTGGGCGAGGTTGGGTGCTGCACCGAGAACACCGCTGTACCACCAAAGAACTAACGAAAGTCATTCTCGTTCCAATGCAATACCGACGAACCCACCGCGACGAACGATGCGTGTTGTGTTGCGATGGTTGGTTTGTTGCGCCGGCGCAAACAATCGTGTGTGCATCGATGCATTCGTGGCTCCGAACCATTGTCCCGGGGAACGCGACAACGCCCRCCAACAGTTGCACGACGATGTTTTTCTACCGAAACAAGCACATCATGGTCGACCTCGGAACCGGAAACAACAACAAGATCAATTGGGCCCTGGCGGACAAGCAGGAAATGATCGACATCATCGAAATGGTGTATCGCGGGGCCAGAAAGGGACGGGGTCTGGTGGTCTCGCCGAAGGACTACTCGACCAAGTACCAATACTAGTGGAAGCGGTACCGATGGTGCGGCGGGGAGGGAGGGAACGGGCGCGCGGGAACGAACGAAGCGCCGGCGGGTTGGTTCGCTGCAAACCATCGCACCGGAGGGACTTTTTTTGTGGGGAGGAGGTCGGGAGCGACGTGGCGGGTTGCTTGTGTCTCGCAAAGTGTGCCACAAAGAACAGAACCGAGGAAGGCTCTTGCGCATTGCGATTTCCGATGGCCGYTGTGGTTGTGAGGTCTGGCTAGTCTTGGCTCCTTGCCGTGTGAATTCCAGTGACAAGAATYGGAGGGAACACTTTCGCTCGAGCGGGAGGCTCTGGAGCATCGCTGCGAGACTGCATGTGTRCTTTCGCAAAGCGGGCTCGACACAACACCGCATTCCTATGCCTAAAAAGTAATACTACYGTACTACTGGTTTTTGCAAAACGATGGAATAGTCTTGAATTTCGAATTTGCAAGCTGCCGAATCACCATAGTAGAACCTGTGAGTTTTCCGGACGATTGTTGCCGATTCCTTTTTCCTGTTTGCTTCCAACAAGGCAAGTGTCCGGTTTCGAACTCGGCAAGAGCATCCCACGGACTATACTTGTTGTGGTGCGTACGTACCATTCGACACCGATCGATCGATCGATCGATCGATCGATTCTTTCCGTGGTCCGGTTCCGAAATCTCGTGCATCTCCCTGCCCCCGGTCCGCCCAAAGTATCATTCCTAGATACGATACCTATGGTAGGAAAACACCGCGCTTGTTTTCGTCGGCGTCGCGCGTCTCCGCCCCTTTTTGTGGGACCCCTCCCAAAAACGTTTCCGTTGGTTCCCTCGTGCAAGCCTCTGTATCGAACCCATTGGACCGAACGAGATGGTTTTCGGCAGGCAACGAAAACGAAATCGAACCAATCGGGGTTTTTTGGTAGTATGGGGTTTGAACCRATTTGAACCAAAACGGCACGGCACAGTACGTACTCGTACGTATGTGCCGTACTGTACCGGGAATGCGCCGTGGGAACGTGCGAGGAGTTCTCACATACCGGTATTACGAGCAAGTACGGTAACTCGTACGCAGAAACACACACAAATCGTCTCGGCAAACCACGAGCAAGCAAGATCGACCCATCGATTCGAAATTGAAAACCCCGTGCGATARTACAGTAACTCGTACGAGCTTTGTACGCAACACGGTGARAGAGGGAACGGAAGCAACGCATTACCGTGTTGTRCTTTTTGCTTCCGCTCGGAAAAGTGCATTGTTTCTTTGCTTGCTTGCAGTGTTGGTCTTATTCTTTGAAAAAAGAGCAGGATCCACGCACCAGTCCATTCTTTGCTGTCCCACGATGACCACCGGTTCTACCACCTTTGACAACCGCACACCCGACACGGTTGCTGATACTGTGAACACCCTCCCGACGATGATCCGATCCAAGAAGGCCCGCAGCGACGCCGGCAACAGCAACAACAACAACAACAACAACAAGGCCAGCGACAGCGACAGCGACCACGGCGAAACGAGGGGCATCCGCTGGGAGACCCTTTCCCGGTCGGGGACGACCGCCTCGTACGCCTGGCTCCTGCTGCTCTTCTCGGTCCTCGGCGCGGTCGTCTCCCAGTCGGCCCTSGGCGCCGCCGCGAGCGCGCCGCGGCCCCACGAGGAAGCCTCCTTTTCGCCCCCGTCCCTGCGGGCGGGGACCCGCCGGATGGCGGAGGTGGCAAGGGGGCTCGCTTCCGAAGCAAACGCCACGGTGGTTCCGGCCGAAGCGGCGGAAGCAGCCAAAACGACGACGACAACGACGACGACCACCACGACGGTCTCGGAGCAGCGCCTCTGATCCCAAGGGGGAAGTCTGGTGAAATCTACGGAGCTACCCGTAAAACAATTCCAACAAGAAGATGAAGGCAACGCAGCGCAACGCAACGCAGAGCAACGAAAAGTCACTCGTCCCCCATGGAACGGAAATTTGCGAACCGAAGAATGTGCGCATCGTCCGCCGAAACGCACTCCGACGAGGGCACGCTGTAGAACCCGCGCACCGGTGTACGATTAGAGACTACGAAGCACAGCACTACCCACCGTCTCGACGAAAGAATACAAGGGAGACGCCGACGAGCGGAGGGATCGGAAAAAGACGGTGTTTGTAGATCGATGGAAGCAAGAGAGTGTAGGGCATCCACGAAAGCCCCGACTATGATGTTTCGCTTGGACGATCGTTGAATAACGCGCGATCAAAATGCAACGAAGGCTCGGAATTTCCATTGGTTTTRTTGGTCTCGAATCCCATATTTGCGTTGGAACAGCGAAGGGCGATGGACCGYACTCGTATTTATTGGATCGATTGGCATTCGCTTTCCCTGCATCGCCTAACRTTCCACACACAACTGTAATAAAGCACTWAAGAAAACAAAAACATACTGTATACMATCCGACAAACCAATCGCTATCTCAATGCCCGTAGGTGGTTTAAAAGAATGCRCTGCTCGCACTGTAAGAAACCGGTTTCTSGCCCTCGCTCGCTCGCTCACCCCTCGGCCCTCCACTCGCCCCCGACGCAGCAAAAGGCGACCTCYCGGTCGCACTTTTCCAGCAGCGGGTGCTCGAAGTGGAAGACCGCCCGGGACACCTGGTCGCCCCCGATCTTCTCGACCCCCCTGCCGCACCGGATCGCGGCGATCTCCGCCACCAGGTTCCTCCACTGGCCCTCGGCCTCGGGGGCGGTCGTCAGGTCCTCCAGGTAGCCGGCGGCGTCGGGCCCCGGGAGGTCCAGCGGGACGAACTCTCGCACAAAGCCGGCCCGGTCGTTCTCCCCCCCSAGCCGGGTCAGGAGGTCCAGCTTGGCCTGGAGCGACCGGGAGGTCGTCTGGAGGAGCTCCACGTCGGAGGGACCGTCGGAGGGGTAGAAGTAGACCGGGGGGGCCGCGGKTGCCGTTGCGGGTGCGGKWRCRGTTGCCGCTRCGGGGGAAACGGCACCGGCGGTGGCCGGCGGCGGCTGCCTCCGGTTGGGCCGCTTGCTCTTCTTTCCCATGGCTGTTGGCGATCGATGGAAGGAACGGAACGGAACGGAACACAGATTGGATCGTGTCGGATCGGATCTTAATGTATCGTGCCGGTATCGTATCGTATCGTATCGAACGGGTATCGTGCCAGTCCGTGCTTCACGTATTATGGAACGTACGAGTACTCGAACTGTCTTGTGAAGAAGTAAAGTTCTTGATGCTCGTACGGTACATARAACTGTTTGCGGTATTTTGAGGTTTGATTTTTTTATGGGTGGTGATTGTCATCGTTTATCTTCACCGTGATTGGTGATATGGTAAAGTACGTATGATATGTACCATACTATATACTATACCATACTATTGAACGTACGATTGCGTCTTGTGTGGACGAAACTGCTCTGGTTTCATCATACAGTATGGTTGTACGGTACAGTACGTACAAGTACGTACCTTGTACTGTAACTACGCACGAAAAAATTTTGCAGGCGCTTCCGCTCCGATCCTTATTACGACATGGAGGCGTATCGTAGCGTACCCACAACATTTTCTACATCATACTACAGTAGATACTACGTACCGGTACTACATACATCGGAGTGCCAACGTATCTTCCATCTTCTCCATTCGTGAAGAACAACTTCGTCTCGTGAACGTCGCCGAGCATCGGCGTAGTTTTCATTCGTGATTACCTGGCACCCAATAACGTGCAGTTTTTAGAACCGAAAAGAGACGATATCAAACATCACATAAAAAAATAAATACMAATAACCAAGAAAAAATTACAATTTACAACTTCACAACTCAAAACCTAAACAATAAACATGACAAAGACACTTCCAATCATTATTGTCGGGGCAGGCCCCTGCGGTTTGGTCACTGCATTGACCCTAAAGAAATACAACGTTCCCTTCGTGATGATCGAGAAGGCATCCCGGTCAAAGATTTGTTCCAATGCCGGAAGCGGATTCGAACTGGCACCAACGGCCGTAGATATCCTACAAAACCGACTTGGGATCGATGTGACTAAGATCATGTCCTACTACCAGGGTATGGCGATCGTGRACAACAATGGGAAACTAATCCGGCACTCGAGGATCCCGGACGGTTACACAGGAGGATCCGCCAACCGGGCAGATATGCAAATTCATCTCTTGGATCAACTCTTCCCGTCTCCCAAGGACGAAGAAGGGGTTCTCTTCTGTGGATCCGGCCTCGAAACATACCGAGAATTGCACAATGATGACCCAGATGGCGGAAGGGTGGTGGCRACATTGTCATCGGGTGAAGAGATTTCTGGTTGTGTCCTCCTGGCCTGYGACGGGATACGTTCGCGGGTCCGGGCCGTCATGCACGGAGGTTACGACAGTACCAAAGATTGGAAGACAAACACCGAGACAGCAAACAYCAAAGATCCCCTCCAYTTTTGCAACACGATAGTTTACTGGGGAAAGACAAAGGTTCCGAGGGGTTCTGCCCTGGAGCTCGAGTTCACCAAGACACAGATGGCTAAGAAAGYCAAAGACAACGAAAAAACAAAATACTGTACGTCGTTTGCCTTTACAATAACAACGCCCAGCGCACCAGCCAGTTTCTTCATTATTCCTTCTCAGAACGGGACAGAACTGAACTGGGCTGTCAGCGTACAATCTGAAACTGATAAGAGGAGCAAGAACAATGATGGGACGGACCTCACACGTCGGGGTGGTGGCCCACTAACGGAAGCGGAAAAGAAGCGATTGTTCGACTTTACAAGCGATAAGAACAGCGAAAGTGTTGTTCGGGGCATCACAAACTTCCCGCTCATACAAGAACTCTTCAAGATGACTCCCGCCAGTGACATCACCGAGGCCGGTCTTTTTGATCGAGAAAATCTKGATCTCCCCTACGCAAGTGAATCGAAACGAGTCGCATTGCTGGGTGGTAAGTGAGCTCGAGAACGCATTGATTTGAAAGAAGATTGATTGAATGCTAACGAAATTTATTTTTCTGGATTCGTGATGAAATTGTCCTAAACTATAACAGATTCTGCCCATCCTCAAACGCCTTTCTTAGGCCAAGGGGTTAACATGGCCATCGTCGACGCCTATGTATATGCCACCAATCTTGCAGTTGCCCTAAAGACCAAGAAGAAAAGCCTCGAACAGTCGATATCCGATTGTACGACGGGCAATCGCCACGGAGAGGCCAAGAAACTTGTTGAAGATGCCCGGATTGGGTGCACAATGATGACGTCCCAGAACATCTTTCTATACTGGTTCATGTTTCTCTTCATCCGSTTGGCCTCCACCAGTTCYTTTATGAATCAGATCATCTCGCAAGACAAGAGCAACAGCGACTTTTTGAAGCTCCTTGATGAGGAACACTGCAGTCCCAAAGAACAAGAAAGCATGTCTCAAATGAGTGCGTAATCAAATACACCGTAGTATTGTATTGAATAATTGGAAATAATAAGWGTGGAATTATTTATGATACTCTTTGACTTCGTTCTATTMATTTTTTTGGAATTTGGTYACATATGGTGTGCTGTCTAGGACAACCAACTTGGCAACAGATCACATCACATCACTGTACTTCACGTCCTGCCAGATTTTGACCAAGTATTTTCTTGACAATCAAGGACATTGTATAGTCCTCAACRACACTTTGGAGTGAGGAGGCAATATAGTTTTGAGATGTCTGATGTTGCCATTGCTGTTGTTGTGCATGAATTTATTGAGATTACAAAGCAAAATAGTTCAACTCAATGGGACCTACTACTAAGYCAACTTGGTCAAAAGCAATAGTACTACTAGACAGATAAGTAGTACGACTACTACAATTTCTGTTGGGCAAAAGCATTCTTGGAAGCATTAGTACTAGTAGTACTGATAGAGGCACCATTGTTGTTACATTTCAATCACCAGGGTGGCCTTCTACTAGTTCTTGTTCTTGTTCTGCTTTTTCAACTTGTTGTTTCTTCAGCATCCAGTGATTGTTAGTACTAGTYGTACTTCTAGTAGCTAGTAGACATACACCAAAAAGGAGTCAGAACAGCAGGGTGGTGATGGAGAACACTTTTATTCTAGTATTAGAATAAGTAATGAAAATGCAGCWTAGGAAGTCCTACTAGTGCTAGAAATATACCCAATGATACTCATTGCTTGCATCATCTTTATTCTTTTTGGAGTACTAGTACTGCTAGAACCCTGGTTTCAACCATGACCACTGGTAAAATTCTTACTTAGCAAAGCAAAAAAGTGCTTGTCTATGTGTAGGATTGTTCAATAGTACAAGAGAATCTATTGCAAGGGAAAGGGCAAGAAGGGCAAGGCCATTTGGTGTCAAGTCAACTGCCATCTACAAATGGATCAAGTTCTCCAATAGAGTTCTTCTGTTTGTCCTTCATAAACATCCAATTGCCATGGTCAGTGTTCCATTATGTTGAAGCAATTAGAAGGAAGTATCAAACACTTAGAGAACAACGCATCTGGTGAGCCTGTGATGGTATCAAGATGCCCATCAAGTCACCTAAGGATTGGACCAAACAGAGGACTTACTTTAACACCTGGAAAGAATGCACCTTTGTTCTTAGCAGTGTCCTTGTGTTTGCCCCAGATGGAAGAATTAGGAACGGTATTCTTCATTACCCTGGCACTTGGCATGATAGCTATAATGCTGACAATGACRTGTACCAGAAGGTGGACAAAGCTCACAACGCTTGCRATGGTGCCAAAATTGTGGATGATTCAGCCTTTGCCTTRAAGGTTAGAGAGCATATCCTCATCAAGAGCTCATAGACAGATCCTGAACAAGCAGATAGGATACTGCTCAACAAGGATGCCACATTGTTGAGGCAGATGGCAGAATGGAGGAGAATGAGGATGCTCCAGGGACAGTTCCCAATGATGAAAGACCAGCTGCAGTTTGAAGAGCTTGGAGATAGGAGGATCATCATTCACTTGTTGGTCAACTTCTACAACTAACAGTCTTCATGACGAGGCCAGCAGCAACGCTTGAACCCATCCAGTCACCCCTATACATAAAGACATAAAGACAGCACTTGAAGCTGGGTACTATTTCAATGCAGGAACATTTTTGTCAGCCAATGCAAATGAGCTGCTTTTTTGAGAAAGGAATCCCAGATGAGGAAGTATCATATGGTGGAATAAAGAAATAAATTGAAATGTTAGATTGGTAAAAAGCAGATTGACAAATTGATGCTAACCAATACCACAATATGCCAACCAAATCAAAAAGTGGATCAATACTAGTATACCAAATCAATATGCTRAATCAATAGGTGAGTATATTTGCAAGTGTGGCGGTTGTAAATTTAAGGAGCTGTGTGTACATCTCCTTAGTGGCTTCATCTCTTCTATCCCTTGCCTCCTCTCTCAACTCTTTCTTTYTCTGCTGTTCCTTTTGAAGTTCAAGCTCCAAGATCCTGGCCTCCTCATTATTCTTCTGGGTCTCAAGGAATGCTTTGAAGACAGAGTTTGTGCTTGGTCTCCTGTTCCTCCTTTGGAGAGTGCCTGTACAATTGAGTTTTCTTAAGAGGGGCTGCTGACTCCAGCATTGAATTCCATGTTGTCACCATGGTGGTCTTGGTTGTCAACGTTGCTGTTGAGGTTGATCCATGTGGACCAGTTGTCAACATCCAGTCTCTGCAGTTGTTGTTACTGTCTTCACTTCAGTGGTCACCAATGATGCTGCTGTGAACAATGCTGCTGTTGAAATGCTGCTGGCAATGATCATGCTGCTGTTGGCAATGCTGCTAGTGGGAGCCCTGCTGAAACCTCCACAGCCTCACTTTTAACAAAGAAGCCTTCATCCAKATCAAATGCCTCCTCTCCATCACCAAGACATTTAGTACTCTCTATTGAGTCAAGTCATGAGCTTGCAATTCTGTTGTTTAGTAGTAGTACTAGGAGGGTCACTTTTTTTGTTGAAMTCCATCTTAATAGATCATATTAATTGAAAGCATCTGACATACTTGTGGTATTTACTTAAAGAGGGTCTTTTTTGGCATATCAATGTGATTTTACTGTCAGCAGTTGGGTTCTATTGGTCATTTTGATATGCCACTACTTGCACATGATAGCTAAGAGTGACACATTTTTGAGGCTGTAATTCTCTTCAGTATGGAGAACTTTCTTCTATCCGTCATTCTTGTTCAAAGGAGGTGCCCGTTACCATTGGTGTCAATGCAAACTTTAGTTMCCCRTTTTAATASWMCASCAGTSGTGTATTTTCATGTGTAAAAATTAAAATAATTTTTATTCAAGGACATGCACATTTTTAGTCCTTGGTACTGATTGTACATGTTCTACACAGTCATTTGTAAAATCCAACTGCAAAAACACTCAAAAACTGTGAAGTAAAGTGGAGACACATACMATACTACAGGACCAACAAAAACAAAAACAGGTTACAATTACAATGACACATATAGTGGACCGGAGGAAGTAATATGTAGTAGTAATTTACTACAGTACTTTTGTAATTATGGTCGTCGTTTCGTGACGTCCCTGCCGCAAAAAACGTAATTTTAAATTTTGAACCATTTTCCGCAACGTTCGTACCGTCATTTTTTTACTGTACAACGTTATTTACGAACCCCAACAAACATTCTCTTGCTGGTGCAGTTCTCCAATTCAAGCTCGAATTCTTTCTAGGCACAATCTTCCCCGCCAAATACAGCTCTGTGGCTAGGAAGGCGCACTGGTGCGTTGAAAACGCACCAATGGATCATTACGACTCTGGCGGAAAATAAAAGTCAAGCGATTGATTGTAATTGAAGATCAAAATGGTAGCGCTAAACCAAAGAACGGGTCGGGACTCGCACAACATGCCTCCGTGGCTTGCTACTTTTTTATTCGCTGTGACACTTGGACTCTTTGAGCTCTTTCGGAACCTGCATCAAATGGAGTATATTTCATTCCAYGGAGAGGATGGAATGTCAACTCTRTTGGATCAACCATTGGTCACGTCGAACAGAAACAATACAGCGAAAACTACGATTGCTTATGCAGTTTCCATCACGCACTTCGAAGTCGATCAAAACAAAAATGAGCCCCATAATGTCTTTGATAGAGCCGCGGTCTTGCACCAATCTATCAAAGTGGCGATGATGAAATCGCCGCGGTATGACTATCACATATATGCTTTCGTCCACCCCGATGCGGTAGGTGCCAAACCATTGCTGCAACGACTAGGCTACCGGGTTCAGATTCGAGACACACCCTTTAATATTTCAAAAGTATCAAACCCAGAGTTGGTTGAGGCACAAGGAAACGGATGCTGCAGTGAAAGAGAGTATCTCAAACTATACTCCTACTTGCTTTCGGATTATCCTGTTGCCGTCCATATGGATTTGGACACGATCGTTTTGCGATCTATGGATGACGTCTTTGATATGATGATGTTGAAGACTGGCGAAGGGCCGTCTASCAGTCAGCAATCGGAATTGTTCTCACGGAAATCGACCATGTGGACAAGCAACCCACAGAACAACATCAAATCCACGCATTCGTCAAAGCGTGTTCTTGAAAATCCAGAAAACATCAATTTCATGTTTACCAGAGATTATAACATGGTCGATCCAAGTGATCCACCCTATAAACAGCCATATCAGATTGGTRTTCAGGGAGGATTCCTTGTGATAAGACCCAACCAACGCGACTTCGATCGAATGATAGAGATAATCCTTTCGGGCGGAGAGGAATACACCATCGGAGATGGATGGGGAGGTTCGAAACTCGGTTATGGAGGTTATTATGGAGCAGCAACGATCCAGGGACTGGCTAGTTTTTACTATGATTATCACGAAAAAGCGCAACGATCCATCGAATTGAACAAATGCAGGTATAACACCATGGTGGACAACCCTTATTTTTTCGATAAGGGTAGCAACAAGACATTGTGTAGGACCCTCGAAAGCGAGTGCGAGGATTGCCGTAAAACCAAGCTAGAAGATGTATACTCTGCTCATTTTACCGTGTGTGGTAAACCAGAGTGGTGCGATACATTGRACCCAGATAAGGACAGATTGTGTTCACAATTGATGAAAAAGTGGCACCAAACGCGGCTCTCGTTGGAATTGGAGTGGATGAATCGATTCTCGTCATCAAAAAATGGCAACGACAAAGCAAACTTGATGTATGTGCCACRATTAAACGGTGTAGATCCAAGTGAGTCGAGGGRAAAACTTCTGGAAAGTAATAAACTGGGCCACTGTGATGGTGAGAATTACATCCCACTCCAGTATCCCGCGATGGCAACGACAAGTTTACACAGTGATGAAGCTCCTTTGATTTGATAGGAAGTAAATACTACGYATGTTTTTTGCACAGCGCGATGTTCCCATATAATGAGAACACYCCCTGATGCATTTATGAAACATCTTGAGTTTTATCCATAAATCAAATTAGGTTTGATCTGCAGGAATTTACATACTACCAGTACTATTTTATGACATCCATCTATGTAGCCCAGGAGAAAAAATTACCAATACAGTGAAAATACCTTCCTGGTATTGCTTCTGCCACATTACACAGTTTGAGCCTCATACTACCTACACCAAGACTACCAGCATCATATCTCTGCTCTCTATAAATATTCCTGTTTCTTATCACCAGTTGACCAACGTCACTAATAACAAACCTCTTAAGTAATGCTATTGGCTCATYATGTGCCATCAAATTCTATATATTCRTGTTGCCTGCCTGCGCGATAGTTGCTCTACTTCCTACRGCTCCAGCTACTAGTASTRMTRWT